CCTTCGGCTAGACGTGTCGAGTAAAAATAATGACCTTAGCATCAATATCGAAAACCTGATGAACTATTTATTTGAGGGATTCATTTTCCTCTATACATGTACTTACCCATGGATTATTATACTCCTCTTAGGCCAGCCGTGTCAAATACCTATCTCATAAATTACCATGGTTGCCATTAATGTATAATCAATAACCACTTCCTGTATCTCTTGCTGTCACGTTCTTCCCACTTTTATTTTTTCAGTTCTATCTTTTTACACATTGTCGATCAAGTAAATTAACTACTTATCCTTGAAACAATCATCTTTTATCACTTGAGTCATTAACTTATCCTGCCTGGTGGTATGGTAGATGGTGATGTACAGAAATCGTAACACTTTCTATACCCTCAAAAATTACGGAGTCCCTGATATTCGACGGTATACACGACGATTTATTATTCACAGACTTCTTTTCACCCCGTCAGCACGGTTTCGGAAAAGGTTACTCTTGTACAACTAACCTTCTGACTGAGGTTGACAGATAAATAACCATCCTTGATCGCAAGGGGAGGGTTGACTACATTTACCTTGACTTATCAAACACTTTTGATAAGATCAACCATTTATGTCTAATAAGTAGGCTCAGACCATTGTGTATCAAAGCACATTTAATTATTTAGTCCACTTTGTATATAGAAAATCGACATTTTAAAGTCAGGGTTGACTTCACTTTCTCTCATACTATGGAATTTCATAGTGGGGTCCACCAGGGTTCAATACTAGGTTTTCTTCTGTTCTTCATTTATGTAAACGATCTTCTACAATAGGTATTTTAGCGACTCACGTGCAACTGAGTTTATTCTCATGTAACTCAGTTAAGCCCTTTTGCTAACTTATTTAGCGGACAAAGTCATCCGTACTATAACAACTTATTGTACCTTTATTATTGTTGTGCTTGTATGAAATATGTATGCTTGAACAATGCTTGACGCCTACTCATATATTTGTAGTGGCATTGGACCATAACCACACAATCCGCAAAGCTGAACATGAGACAACTCGGAAAATAGATATTCAATATTTAACACGGAGAAATACCTAACGATGGAGAAGGCGCGAACAATGAGTTGAGTGAATTAGAGTTGATCGAACGGCATGGCTCGGCCATGCAGGCGTGGTCCCTGCTGAATGTTATCTTATTTCTTCTATTCATATTAAATATATTGTTCTTTCTCTAGCCTAACCTTGTTCTGGTAATTGGTACGATACAGTGAGTTGGTGTAGTCGATGGTGTGACTTCCACGTAAGATCTTATAGATTAGGCAGTTATATCGTGACGAATCTACAAATTTAGAATTAGGTCTATTATTAGGGCAGCACTAATATCATAGTAGACCATAATTCTACATATTCACTCTGCTAGCTTTATTATTAGCTGCTTAATTGATTCGATGATCCATTCATTTCCCTATATATACATGTACACTTACACTTCTCTACTCTCGGTTAGCTGACTCACTCATTCGCCTCACTGGTTTGCGGTCTGAGTATCTGCTAATAAAACTTTGTAGCTGCTCCTCTTTACCTCCTGATTTCAAACACCGTTGAGGATTATATGGTAACGGTTACGAGGGTGATTGGTTAACGAAGCACAGCTACTACAGTATCGTCAGACTTGTTATCTTTTGCTCATGATGTGAAACTTTGGAGAGAGTTACACAACCAAGAGGATAAGCTGGCCCTTCATGTGGGTCTGACTCGACTTCATAGTTGAGCAAATGACAACGGACTTACCTTTATCAATTCCAAGTGTAAAGTAGTCCAAATGCGACTATATGTGATATTTATAAGTATTTGAATTATAGTATGAACTAAGAATCCCAGAAATAACGTAATCAGATCAAGAAGTACTAGATGACCACAAACGAATGTACTGTATTTAGAATTCGAAATCAAACATTCAGTAAGTACAAAGGAATCATTAGTTCATTCGAAGACCATATCCGCCCACAGCTTATATTGGAGTTTAAGTGTCTGTAGTCGATTGTACGTCTTCTTCTTAAGTTCATCCTAAGTCTGTCCGACATTGTATCGGATAAAAACTCTGTATTATCTAGAATGTGCTCATTAGTATTGGAATTAACAAGCGAAATCGGAACAGACTCACCTGGGATTGCATACAATCAGCATGTCGGTTTTGTACTGAAATCATTAATATCTAGAACTCGAATCATAGATTTTTCAGCACTATACTCCCCTACGAAATAATGCTGGATATTTATATCCCCAAGTTATGCATGATGTGGCTTCATTTAAAACATATTTATCACATTGATTAGAGTATACATTGGAAGTGGATTTGTGATAAGGATGAACAGCAGTTGGTATGAAATCATCGGGATTGTAATCAAAATCGGGGTCATTTAGTACTCGTGCTTCGCATTGAACAAGTTTCCCACAAGAAACAAATTCATTATGAGGACAAATAATATTTGGTATGACATCAAGATTTGACTCTTCTGAAATAGTTTCCTCAAATTTATTAAGAATGTCATTGCAGAGCGAAGGATCATTAGAAAAATCAACATCTATCAAGGCTGCATCAGGTTTTCGATCATGACTAGGTTCATTCAACATATTTTCCTCAGATTTGCAAGAAATTTCGTCAGAAATATGTGAATCATTAGGAAAAACCATATCTGGTACAATAACATGAGAATTCTGTTAAGTCGATTGATATGAAACTGTTGTCTCGCAAAGATTCTGAGTTTCACTTAACTCTGAACTGCTATATGACTGTACACTGTCTTTTAAAACCGTTGGTGAAAATAAATGATCATTATAAATACTAAACTTAATAGAATCAGAATCACAAGACTTAACATTAGTTTCAGCAAGATGAACAGTAGTATTACAAACTGACTGAATATGTCCAATATCACCACATCTAAAGCACTTATAATTACGAAATTTGTATGAATTAAATGAGTGGAACTTGCCACAGGACAAACATTGGCCAAAATTGTGCCCATCTTCGTGAACTGCATCCAAACTCAATGAATTTTCTGCAAAACCTTGAGCATGCAGTGGATTGGGATGACGTAATGTGGTGGAATTTTTTATATTCTCATGAATCATTTTCCAAAATCTTCCTCCTTTACGACATTCGGAATTTGTATAGTGAACATAGTCTAGCAGTAGAATTGTATAAGACAGCGAAACGGGCTTTTCCGGTAAAGCCAGATATTTTAATAAGCTATATGCTTTTTTTCCGATGCATGTGAAGAAATGTGCTACAATATTAGCATCCTCATCATCTTCCTTGGTCCAAATTTCGAACTTTTCAAATTAATCCTCAAAAGCTTCAGAGGTTGAATGAATATCTAACTGTTCCATCACTGGCTCCATCGCGACGCCAATGTAGTATTTATAAGTATTTGAATTATAGTATGAACTAAGAATCCCAGAAATAACGTAATCAGATCAAGAAGTACTAGATGACCACAAACGAATGTACTGTATTTAGAATTCGAAATCAAGCATTCAACAAGTACACAGGAATCATTAGTTCATTCGAGCACCACACTATAGCAACAAATAAGGCAACTCGCCTGTTAAAGTATCCCAAGTCGAAAGAGATTTATGAGTGAAGGTGCACTACGGTTTGAAGTCTTACACTAACTGCAACGAAAACACCTTACGAGCAAACCTTGCACCGGTAACATTGAAGCGCATTTTGGGCCAGTTCGACGGAAGAACTTCCCACACAATCTTCAAAAGTTTTATTCGCCCTCATTTAGAGTACGGAAACATAGTATTTTTTCCCTTACTCCAAAAGGATATGGACGCCCTGGAGCGTATCCAACAGCGAGCCACACAATCACTTTGGAGACTCAAATTCAAGCCTTATGGAGAGCATCTCCAATCACTGAATCTTTACTCATTAGATTACAGGTGTCTTAGAGGTAGCCTGATGGCTTACAGCACCTTAAATACTTCTGAATATCCCCTAAACACCTATTTAAGCTTAATCCCAACACAAAGCTTAGGGGTAACACTCAGAAACTGGAGACTCAACACAGAAGAACGGACTGTAGACACACCTTCTACTTCATAAGAGTAGTCAAATGCTGGAATTCGCTGCCGGCTGAGCTCTTTCAAATGACTTATCAAGAATCCTTTAGAAGAAAACATGACACATTCCTAAGGACTAAGGATATCTTATTACGATTTTTTTCTCTTCCCTCTTTTGTCGATAATTTACCTAGGTTTCTACCTGGAGGTTTTTGTAATCCACTGCTACTAGATACAGAAGCCTGTTAATCAGAAGCTTCTTCTATTTCATCCAAAACCATTTAAACTATTTTGAACCACATGGTACACAAATCTACAAATAACTGCCGCACTGGCTATAAATAGTGGCTAGAATACCCCCAAGAGGACAACTAAACACCTGGAATCGTATAAAAGCGTTAGCAAGTGAGCACATATCAATTAATTGATTTATATAAGCTCATGACAAGGAAATTCGAGGATATATATTGGAATTCTACTCGGTTATCGCCCTTCGGTTATTGACCTGAATGACCACTGATATGAGTATGACCAGTCCAATCGAATGGGAAGACTATCTCCCATGTCTCTCAAGACTTGAAGCTGTACATAAACAACAGAGAAATCAATCGGTTAAAACTACTTCGTTACGACGATATTGGATATTGGTTTTATTGTTACTGTTAACCTGAGTAACATATTCGAAACGTAACGCTATCAACTCATGGTTTCGCTTGTCAGATTGTATTGATTTTACTCTTGTGTTATTTATAATTGTTATCTATTGGTTTCAATAATAAATGTAAGTGCATTCTATGTATTTACTGGATCATCGGCTCACCTTTTCTGTCGTTTCCTCTTCCAGATTCTCTCAAATACTACTCCTCACACTCAAGGTACATTCAAGCTAGAAGCGAATCTGCCAGATGCTGTTTGTCACACCTGTCTGACCATTAAGTCTTCAGGACTGTATTGTTTTTGATCGTAAGTAGTGCTCTATAAGTGGTTTACGTGATGTCTCGTAAATTTATGTTCTTTTTCCTTTTTGTCTTCATACGTTCCCGACTTTGTGCCTAAATGGACCAATTTCGGGTAAATTTCGGAACAACCCCATTAGTTATTCTGTATTAATGTCGATGAAATTCAGTCAACAAGCCTAATATTCTCGGAAAAATATCTCGAAGTCGTGATTTTTTCCCCAAAGTAAATAAGATCCTTCAAAATCTTCACACACATTTGAAATATGCTGTGAATCGCTGGTGGAAAATCCCAAAGAGGATTCTCTTTACTATCAAGTTTTGATATCACCTATCTGTTACATTTATAAGAACCTTGCATGTTTGTAGCTGATTGTCTCGTCTTTGTTCTTATCACCAAAGCCATTATGTCGCCTACTCTCTATAGATCTACAGTGACCGTGTACAGTCACTAAAATGCAAAGTGGTCGTCGTTTCACCAGATTTGATGAATTGTTTTTGGCATTCTATTGGATCTAAAGCCTGATCGATGTAATTCGGTCTCAACCGATCAATGCCACAAACCCGAATGTTTGAGCGTGCATTTTGTTACTGAATTGCTTTAAGCTGTTGTCAGTTGCCTGGATCCTAAAATACAGTTTTACAAGCCATAGTAGGGGTAAACTTAGCCCAAATCATTGCTGTGCTGTATGGGAACAGTTGGGAATCTTACAGTTTATTGAAGTTCTAAGATGGTGCTTTACAATAGTTCGTCACAGCTTTAATATCAGCGCCCTCTAAGAATATGCTACTGTTTAATGAGGTAGATCACTGTCCATGATTTTCGTCACAAAATCAATGACTTTGTTATCATAAATGAAGTCATTCACACAATACACACAAATCATTCAGTGACACATGATTATTGCTTAAGTCACTCATAATCCGTCCCACACTTGCATCTAAAGCTCGTACTGCTAGTTTTTGCCGAAGCTTATCTTTTATCTCGGAAAATAATATATTGTTTCTCTTTTTGTTCCTAACAGATTTTTATAAAGGCTAATCAAGCCGTTAGAGTGAAATATGTGTGTGCTTTTCACTTTCCAGATATATAATCCAATAAAAACCATTCTGGAGAATAAACGTACGATGTCTTCAGTGATTTCTGACAAAAAGTGGAGCAACCTTAAATGCATTCTTGGACGTTCTGGTCCATTTCATCGGTCAGAATTCGAGCCGTCAAATGAAGTTTGTGCAATTTTTAATCCCGCGAAATTTCAAGCTCTTAAGCATGGTTAGAGAACATGTGAGAATCCTTGTCATTGGAGCTGGAGGTTTGGGTTGTGAGCTTCTGAAAAACCTTGTAGGTTTACATCTTGCGACTATTATTAAGTGTAGGCTATGATGGGGTTTTGTCATCTGGAGGTCATAGACATGGACATAATCGATATTTCCAATTTGAACAGACAATTTCTGTTCCGATCTCACGATGTCGGCAAACCGAAAGCCAATGTTGCAGCGGATTTTATCATGCGCCGCATTCCAACATGCAAAGTTGTCCCACACTACAATAAAATTCAAGATTTCGGTGCGCCGTTTTATAAACAATTTAATGCTGTGGTTTGTGGTCTGGATTCAGTCACAGCTCGGCGGTGGATTAATTCTATGCTGGTGTGTCATGTATTGTTTTATATATTTCATTACTAAGCATTTCCAATGGTATTTTCAGGACAAAGGTGTATTTTTCACAGTGAAAATGTTTAGGTATATTTAATGAAACGAGTCTACAAGAACCAGCATATAACAGATCTTGTGTATGTAACATACGAAAAGGACCTTATCATTGTACTGGAATCGCAATAATCTATTATTGGAGATTGGGGAAAACTATGTCAAATGTCACATTGCGGCGTAATTTCTACTTCTGATTTCTTTTGTGCTATCCGTTCTCCTGTATATTGAGAAACACTTTGCGCTTAACTTTTCATATAAATCTGCTATGTGTTTTATCACTGCTGGATACCTTTACAATTTGTCATTTTTTGCACATTACTTATCCTATACTATTCTGTATTATTTTTTATGGACTATTAAGAAATGATTTTGCTGTGTTGGTTGGATTAGATATTAGCTGGGGTGGGTTAAATCTTTTGGTGTTACTGTAAACATAGTTGTTGATAAATATCTCAAACAGCTGTCAATCGTTATTGTCTGAAACAAACTACGTACTAGGTTCATATCGTCCACCGTGTATATCTTATAACATGACAAGACGCAGGTACATTCAAATTTATGTTCAGTGACGAAGTTTCGGGGATTCTGTATCCATCACTCATAATGTATGTGGAAAATGTCTTAACGGCTGACCCTAACGAAAATGTTTCCTAGTGGACATGCATTCATATTAATTACTGTTCTCAGAAATGTCCTTTTATAAAAAAAAAATCAGTTTATTTGCATAATTTTGTACATTTTTTGGTTATGAAGAGCCAAAAAACGTAAGTATTATATGCGAAGAATTCTATGTCGTACTAAACATAACATTAAGTAAAGCGATTGTCATTATAAATGTGTTTTATTTATTTCATTACAATGGATTTCGTTTAGACAAACCTGACTTTCCATCGGCAAACGAAAACGATTCAGTTTATGATAGCACTCTATGTAATGACAAAAGAGTTGTGTTAGGAATCTGTTTATTCTAAATAGTGTCATAATGGCCAAGTAGAAAGTAATATGAATCGAAGGTGATGGTATGCACTTATATCTTTATATTTACCTCCGTTTTACTTCTTTCTGTTGTATCGAAATGTAGTTTGTTAAACAAATACATTAAGACATTATAGCAGTCGGATAAAGTGTAAATTCATGCTCAAGACACTCGCAGATCATTCTTCTTAATGTATGTTGCCATGTTTTAAAGTAAATTCTACTTTCACATTATCATCGATCATCATAATTGCTGACTGACACTTCTTTAAGGTAATGGCTCTTCGACTTATAACACATGAATTGGTTCATCTTAAAATATTCCAACTATTATTTATGATGTATCGGTGTCAAGACTGCATTTTACTGACAATAAATTGTTCCCATTTGATACTATCAAAAATGGTATTTTTTATTTAGCGAGCGCACTGTTTCCACATGGGTTGATTTTTAAATATTTTCTAATTGCCCACCGTATGTCGAATGTCTGTAATGTTTTTGTCTTTTTTTCGTTTCTGTATTATAGGCAAGTCTGGTTCGTTATAATCCAGATGGTCAACCAGATCCAAACACTGTCATACCACTTGTTGACGGTGGGACAGAGGGATTCAAAGGACATGTCCTTGTTGTTCTGTATGGCCTGACTGGATGCCTAGAATGTACACTTGACCTATACCCACCACCAACCAATTTTCCCTTATGTACTATAGCGCATACTCCTCGTCTTCCAGAACATTGCATAGAATATGTGAGAATACTGTTATGGTCAAAAGACAATCCATTTGGAAGTAAGTTGATGTCCAGTATTTAAGCAAAGATGTTCAACTTTTTTATCTAATACACTGCTGAAAACGGTCGGAAGTGTTTAGTCATTGGTCCTAACATTGTCGCTACTAGAAAAGAAAGCACTGATTTTAATACGAGAGGATATTAGTGTGGCTCACCATTTTCAATGAACCTTGTTTTGAGGTACATATATATATATAATCATAGAGTAGCTCATTGTGTAAGCAATGTAGATAGTCAGACACTACCTTTCATCAATATCTTTGTGATTTCACAAAAAGTGTGTATATCTTTGGTTGCCAATATTGTAGCTGACTGACTGCCAGTATTCTACACACCTTAAAATCAAATATGACTGACCTCATAAATCTGCCCATTTAGTGTTTGGCGAGTCAGTCTACAGATGGCTGTCCTACCAACTGTGGTGAGTTATATCAAAATATTGCTAAGACATCTAAAACTTGCCACATAAGGACCTTGTCTAACCGGCCTCAAGCAGTTTACTCTTGAGCTCTATAATCACTCCTAAGTCTCTACGACCACTATTAATCCAGTTTATTCTTTGGGTTTCCCAAGAAGAAAAATCCTTTCACAGTATGGGCAACAGAAAAGTGACAGCTAACCTCATATCTCTACCCGGAATTCTATCTTCATCAAATATTCCATCTTCATTATCAACTTTCATCTTCTACTTCTTCAACGTGTGCCATAAAAGCTAACAGTTCGAGATTACAAAATACTGTTTCAGGTCTTTTGAAACTCCGCTTCAAACTACATGTTAGAACTTTTAATGTTTGGATCCCATATCAAGTCGGGCAACAGGTATCACTAGCTAAGACCCTAGAATCTTGTGCCGTTAATGTATACTGTGCTTCCAAAGTACAAAAACTACTTTTATAACTTGTGCCTGCTAATTAGAGAACAGTGATTTATCGACCGAACCAATGACGCATAAAATCCGTACGAGCAGTCTAGAGTCTTTATCGGTCTTGCCTCCCGCCTAGCTCTGTCTGTTATGTGCAGAACATCAATCTTAGCCTCTGCGATATGAATCATTTATTTCAAACACACTGAGTTTGTATGCCAACCAAACAGACCACATTGTACTATAAAATAAAAAATAACATTTGTAAAAGATATAACCGAAAGTGGCTGTGAGTGTGGGAGACGGTAATTGGGCATAGCCGACGAATGGTAAATCGTATTATAATAGTTCATAGGTCAAAATAAAACTTTCAATAAGAGGAACACGAATATAAATAGTTTAGTTACTTAACAATTATACGATAAAAACATATGTATAGTATTAGTCCAGAAATAGATTCCAACAGTTACCACTCATTATTCTCATCGGGATATAAGACCTCTTTTTTGAAGATCCGGAGTTGATATTCGGACTTTATCCTCCCCTACAAATTAGTGTTGGATCCTCTTGTCCTCAAGTTGCAATTAACATGACTTTATTTGAAACATGTTTACCGTATTGAATAGAGAATCCACTAAAAGTGACTAGATAGTGAGGATAAACGCCACTGGATTTGCGGTCATCAGGGTCTGATTCTTCTGAAACATTTTCATCAAATTTATTGAAAATCTCATTAGTAGATAATGGATCACTAGAATAATCAGCATCCATCAAAATTGCGTTAGGTTCTTGATTATCATCTGATGTATCCGACATATTTTTCTCATTTTTATAAGAAATTTCATCAAGAACATTCGAATCGTTAAGATAGCCCATACCTGGTAAAACAACTAGAGAATCCCAATAATTAGATTCATCAGAAACTTTTATCGCAGAATGATTAATTTCATTTGGTGCAACTGCATTCATTATACTGCTCGATTTATTTTCTTTTTCTTCGTGGGTGGTTACTGCGGCAATTTCATAAACACTTGACAGGACATAGTCTTTTTGTGAGCTGGACAAGTCACTGTTTGCACATTCTGTTTCAGGGATAATGGGATTTGAACCCACTACAGGGCATGTCTCTAAAATGGACGTTTCTGGACGACTGGGCGGATCATAAGTGACTGATACTGCTTCGTTTATATTAATGCTTGTCAAGGATTCCCGGAGGCTTTCATCGACACGTTCATACGTTCTGCAGTCATTTTCCAGTTCTGTATGCAATTTGGAAATTAATTCAATAACTTCCGTCACATCTACAAATCATGGATGATTCAGTAGTCGTGTGTGTAGTTTGTCTATAAATTCCAACGGATTCTTTTTAAAACACTGCTGTTGTCGCTGAAATAGCAGCTGCAATTGATCAGGAGAGCCATTCTCTGTTTCTGTATGAATCAGCACGGTAATAGAAAAGACAGTATGACTAATTAACAACTAATTTCGTCCAAGGACATCGACGACAACTCTGTATGGTGATTGTTCGAAATAATTACACTGGTTTTCGTCCAATTACTGGCTAACCTTGGTTCTTTTTCTTCACTCCGTGGCCAATTGTTATAACTTGTCCAACAAGCACTTTCTCCAGTCTTCTTCTGTTCTCTTATTTGCGACTTGGGGGGTTATAGCGTTCGAGTGCTTAAGTTATGCGCAGTATATTAGGAATCTTAGCTTCTAGATTTAACAATTGGTGACGGAGTGAAGAAAAAGAACCAAGGTTAGCCAGTAATTGGACGAAAATCAGTAAGACAATATCATGCGGATACTCAAGGTCGAGAAGTCTTTCTTCAGGCAAAAGATCCACACCGCCATTACCTACATCCATCAAAGCTGTTTCCAGAATGTTATCGATGGAAAAGTTAGCGAGGGATGATGAGATTGGACAACCCTGCCTAACCCCACTGCTTGAATGGAACAATGGAGAGAGTTGGTTGTATGCCCTCACTCTGCCTGAGGTGTTTGTATATAGGGCTTTTAGGATGTTAATAAACATCTCGACTACTTCTATCTGCTCACTATCCAGGGTGAGTACAGGATTACGATCCTGCCAGTCTTGTAGAAGTACTTTGCACTTCGAAGGTGCAAAGCACATACCCATACTTACGGACGCTGATTGCCAACCGATTAAGTGCGGATTGCATGCCTTGGGCATTATCACACTGTAAGACAATATCATCCGCATACTCAAGGTCGAGAAGTCTTTCTCCAGGCAACAGATCCACACCACTATTACTTACATCCATCAGAGCTGTTTCTAGAATGTCATCGATGGCAAAGTTGAAGAGGAATGGTGAGATTGGGCAATCCTGTCTAACCCCACTGCTTGAATGGGACAATGGAGAGAGGTGGTTGTATGCCCTCACTCTGCCTGAGGTGTTTGTATATAGGGCCTTTAGAATGTTACTAAACTTCTCAGGCACACTCTTCTTCAATAGACAATCCCAGAGAACAGTCCTGTCCAACGAATCGAAGGCAGCCCTGATGTCAAGAAACACTACGATTGTTGGTCTTTGATAAGTATGACGGTGTTCTAACATTTGGCGGAGGGTGAGTATATGATCAATACATCCTCGACCAGAACGAAACCCAGCCCGCTCTTCGCGAGTGAATCTTTCTCGGGTTTAGAAAAACCTACACAAGTATGATTAGCCAATAGTTTGGGCACAATCGGTTAAGTTGACTGATATATTACCTAGAGTCTAGGAAATAGGTACAATCCCATCTGATTAGTATTGATCACTTATTGCTCCAGTTCATAAGAAAGGAAAACATTCACTTACAATAACCACAAAGGAATCAGTCTGGCTAATGTAGCGTCTAAACTATTAGCCTGAATAATATGTATATATATAATATATACTAAAACCGATATCTTTTGTTGTTTTCGTCTTTTCGTGCCAATCTGGTGTGCTAACTTGTGTCAACAAACAGCTGTGCCAGGTTCTATGTTGATGACGTCTGTTTGACTCTTAACAAGTAAGAGACGTTATATATTGGCGCTATCCTAAAAGTTTTATTGTTGCGGCGAGCATATCATGTTTGAGATGCGTTGCGGTCATTTAGTCATGATTCATAATTCAGTCATCACAGTCGTTGAAATTCTCAAACATTCCTGCCAACTTTTTCTTGTTCTGTACTGTAACATATCTATTTATTTGAAATCATAAACATTGGTACAAGGGGGTACCAAATACATATACGCCATGCAATAACAATGAAGTTAGTAGTAGTTATCATTAGTTTATGTGAGAGCCGTGATACTTCTTAGGTGCCTAAACTGAAGCAAGTAGTTCTCTTAGGGCGTCACACCCTGAGCCTTTGACCTAAAGGTCTAATCCACAAGGCAGTAGAGCAACGTTAGGGGATGCAACCACATGGTAGCCGGTGACAAACAATAGGTTCATGCGCCATTTGGTCCCTCAGGATCTTGGAGCCCATGTGTATCATTGGTTTGTAATCAGGGTTCTCCAACTCCCCTAGGTGGATCCACCAACCCTGTTAAAGCGTCGGACATTCACTTTTCATCCTCTCGATTTCGTAAACAATACCGCCGTCTCGAGAATGCAATGAGTAGGTGTTATAATCTCTTTCTTACGGTTATGACCCAGCTATTCCTATTGCTTAGTATTCTCGGACACCGATTCACTCGACAAGTCCCCAAATCAGAACACGGTTGAACAGGAAAGAGATTATATTCCAAATAACAAGGTTAGATGGAAGTAAAAAGCAAGTCAGTAGTGCAATAGGGGAAAGCATTAGTATATTTATAGTTTGTACATGAGAAGATTCTAGCGTAGTCCCCAAGTGTCGGCTAGTGCTGATTGGATAAGAATTAGCCAATCAGCGTGCACCAAAGCAATCGTGCATTGAGCATGCTTTAATCCAGTCTATGTCCCGCTAACAGTAGGAATTCCCTGTCAGTGGCCATACACCCATAACCATGTGGGAGGATTTCTAGAGTGAAAGCAGACTTTCGCCATCTTTGGCCGTACCAGGGCATTTATAATATTGAATAAAGCTATTATTATTACTATTACTCATAATTTTTCTTACTGTTTATCATATTTTGTTTTCACAGATAATGTTGCAATCGACGGCGATTCACCTGAACACATACAATGGATATATGAAAAGTCATGTGAAAGGGCTAAACAATTCGGAATTTCAGGTGTTACACTACGTCTTGTACAAGGTGTCGTAAAGCGAATAATCCCTGCTGTTGCTTCTACAAATGCTGTTATCGCAGCTGCATGTGCAACTGAGGTTGGTTTTCTAAATAAGTCGACTTTACTTCTTTCTATGTTGTTGGTATTCAATAAAATGCAACCCACTGTAACTAGTTAATATTCGCGTGCGAGACCAAACGTTTTGGGTTCGGTTCCCGCATGCGAAGTTGGAGTTATGCACTTCTAAGGAGTTTCATACTGAGAAGAAACGGTATCCCAGTGTCTTGAGGTTTTCAGTGGTGATCTAGCTTAGATCGGTTCATAATTTTAATAAACTTCAATCTTCACAACCCCATAATGCCTATTAATTTTGAATTTGTAGATTGTGTTACCTCATAATTTCACTTCTTCATAAATTCTTTTTCCTAATTTAGAATTAGTGGGGGTGTATTGTATTCTGATTAAAGACGTATACGAAGACTGGAGGTCATGACAAATCTTGTGACGATCCTGGTTTTGTCTTTTACATTATTCTTAAAATTGAGGGGAGCTTCCTAAATTAAAGAGAATCTTTTTTGGCTGTTTTAAACAGGATTTTTAGGAAATTGCTATTCATGTTTAACAATTTATAGCTTTTGCAACCATTCCCTTTTCATAAGCAAAGGTGAATGGTGGATAGCAGTGGAATCCAGGACGCGCGTTTCGTTCTATATGGGACTCGTCAGCTGGATGTACCTACATTCCAGAGTTGATGTTCACTCTTTTATCTTCACTTAGCTATCACTTCATTTATGTGTTGAGTTTTATTTCAATAGTGCACTAGGATTTATGTACTTAAATAAGTAGATAAACTGTTCTCCTAAAGCACTTCAGTTAGCTGTATGGCGTGTTATGTATCTATACACGTCGTTGTGGTTGGAGTCAAAAACTAATTCAGATCAATCCTCTTTACAGAAAAAAAACGACATAGCTTTACGTAATCAGTCATCAAAGTATGGAATTACAGTGACTAATTTATATGATGCCATTTCAGTCCTCTAAATACATTGATGTTTTATGTCTTCGCCGGTTCTCTTTCACAGGTCTTCAAACTAATCACATTCTGTTACAATTATTTAGATAATTACATGAATTTCAGTGATATTGATGGAGTTTATACCTATGGTTTTTCTGTTGAACGCAAAGTAAGTGATTCTAATTGCTTTTCTTTGATGTCTTTAATAGATAGAAAACAATTCATCCTTATGGTTTCTCTTCGGATTTGAAATCGCAAATTAAATGCTTTTTATGCGTTTATATTTGTTTATTCAGTCAAATTACTTATTTTGTATGACTATGTTCCATGCATTCAGGCAACCAGAAATGAACCTGATCAAATTCCTTTTAAACCCATAATCCTAAGGTTCTAGATCGAGTATCTAAACTACAAAGCCTTTACACCGACGACATTGGGAAAAATTGATACACAATCTATCTTATAAATATCATAAAGATGTTTTTAAGATTGCCTGTAATCTGTTTCATAGTTTTTTTCGTTAACTACTACTTCTAAATGATATAAAGGTGAAGTATTTTTCACATAGTTTCACGTTCAATTGTAAGCCTTAAATTATTAATCTTTTGACTTTCTTTTTAGACATTTTTTCCACTTGTCTCATTCATTTCTTCTACGCTTTGATTTATGATGTATTATAGGTTACTAAAATCTTGTTATGTATTTTCGAGTTATGTAGAGATTGTGTCTTAGATGGTGGTTGGAAGTAGTCAACAGGAAACCCTGGACCCGGGTTTCGTGCTATTTGGCACTCGTCAGCAAGGTGTACCTGTAATGTCGAGGGAACTGGTGCTCCCTGACGGATTCGATCCCGTGTCACCCAGCTTCACAGTCAGAGACGTTACCACTGAGCTATCTGGCCCGCGACCGACCTCCTGTAGGACTGAGATGTAGTCACAAGAGATTGCGTCTGTTCTTCCAAAAAGCGTTTCATAGAAGCTAATATAAGGGGGTTGAATAAGTTTCTATTAAGTGGGATTCAAAAAACTCATGGCATTGTGTTACGAGATCAAATCAATCGATTTATTTAAGTTCTCTGCAATAAATTTTAATATACTAAGAAATACTGTGGAAAATAAAACTGTTAATCATTGACATTGTTAGTATATATATGTATATCTTTGTTTTTGCTCGCTTTGAGATAATAAAGGGAACTGTGTGTAGCTAATTTATTTACATGATTCCAGTTTTATTCAAGTAATGTTTATTGACTATGACAATACGATCCTTTGATATTTTCTTATAATTTTCAACGAACAGTTATCATATTTTCAGAACGCTTAACTCCTAGATCACTGAGCTGGCATCCAACGGTGTTAATGTCTAACTTCAATCGATCTATGGTCTTGCATATCCTTTCATCTGTTGTCTGAGGTGGATAACTGTCTTAGTGAGAAGCCGTGACCAGTAGAGTCCAATCTGTGTCGGGTGGAGACAGTTATTCACTTCAAACAACGGCTGAAGGGTTGTGCTAAATCACGGGTCGATTGAACTTATTATATTTATTTATTTCGATTATTTATGGTCAGCATTTATTGTTAATGTCCTAATTGAATTGTTGAAAATTTTCTATTTTGAAAACTTACTATAGGCTGATTGTCTTGCCTGTAACAATGTGCCACGAACTCTTCGATTACAGACTACTTGTACATTAAGAGATGTTATAAATGTTTTGAAGACAGATCCTGAGTTGTGAGTATTGTACTATTATTATTATAAAATGTTTTGTAAACTAAACGACAATAGAGAAATTTATATTATTATATTATGGAAGTTTCATGTTTTTTATTATTGCACCTTCACAATTGTGATTAAATATCTCTACGTGTTATTGTGGAGTTTTTCATCGATGTACTAATAAGTGTATTCCCATTTAAAATAATCTTAATTTCTCCAGTTCCCATTAGAGTTCTCTGTATATCCTCTTGTATTGTAAGTGATTATATCGTCATCATTCAGTCTACTAATATAATACAGATATTTAACCATAAGTGATTTATTCTTTTTAATGAACTATTGCTAAAAAGCATGAAATTACCTTCATAATGTAGTTTACAATTTTAATGAATTCATCTTGAGTGTTATTTTACTTTAAGGGAACACTAGTCAATGTAGTTCATTAGATATATTGATAAGTGACTATACCTTACAATACAATCTCAAATTTACATGAACTAAATTACGTTGTTTTTTCTGGTCACATCCGTTGTGATTTGTGGGCGAGAATGATAATGATTCGTTGTTTGCTTAGTCAGACTTGTAGATAGTCTGGCAGGTGTTTGATGAGTTATATATTCTCCTATCCTTATTATTACTATTACTGGATTGTGTCGGCTTGTTGTCGGTTTTTGATATGGAAATACATTTACATTGTAGTCAGGCTAATCATGTGTTTTTGATCTGTAGAGTAGACACTGGGAGGGAATCTGGTGTAGATATTCGTCTAGAGCAAATTGACTTCCCATTCGTATAGACAAGGAAAATCCGATCGTTATAACATGTAAACATGATGCAATTGGAACACTAACTACTTAATACCTCTTTTCCATAACTACATATCACAGTTCTATAACAGAATAAAACATATTGTTACTTTATAGTGGTTGTTTTTAATCAAACCTTTCACATACATACTTTATTATTATCGGCAAACAGTCCAATGAATCTGTTGTAACTGCAAACATATTTAAAGCGATTAGCGCCTTCGACTAATTTATTTTTTATACGTAAAGTATGTTTAACGGTGGATAAGTCCTTGAATATTTCTAACATGAAAAGTGATAAATAATGGCTTCATCAGTATTATATATATATCACTTCATATTCTGTCCTATTTTCTAGTCAAATGCAGTCACCCAGTATAACAACAATTATTGAAGATCAACATCGTTCATTGTATATAAATCTTCCAGAACTGGTTGATACACTTAAACCGAATTTGTCTAAAACTCTTCAAGGTAGGCATATTAACTATTCACGTTTTCTTACTTCAGTATTATTCAACCTATTTGAATGAAGTGAATTCACATTTTAAATATTTTTTTCTAGTTGTAACGTTTACTTTAAATCTCAATAATTCAATTCCTGTTTTCGAAGATTGAATATATTTGAAGATAATTCTTGGTATGAAATGACATCAGTCGAAGAAATGCTAGAAGTAACCTTTTTGATCACTAACTTCAATTCTTTCCATATTTGAATCTAGAATCTATAGTTACAAAGCAAAACACAATGACTTTTTAATACTTTCCATTAGTTTTACTTTAATTCCACTTTCGAAAGTGAATTCGAGCCATTTTACAAGTTGATTTTTATAAATAATATCTGATAATCTTGTCTCGGTATGTGTTCTATTGCCAGTTCATTGAAAATTTTTTTCGTCTAACCGACTTTATAGCTGTTTAAAGTTGAAAATCTTAACAGTCTCTGTCTGATAGACTGATAGATAATTATGATCAATTAATCTATAAATCTTCTGAATACTGACGAATCGATGTTTAGTTTCATTTAAGTAATTTATCAATCTGATTAACTGTTATTACTTAGCTAGATAAATTTGCTATTGGCACATAGTTGCAGCAAATCTGTAAGTATTAATATGGTGTATGCTGAGATGGTGGAGATTTGTAGCTCAGGTGGATGATGTTAATAGAGTTTGGTTCTATGCGCTGGATGTTTTAGCCGTGGAGCTTTATTTGTTCTTTTGAACGACGTTGTCAGCAGAAACTTCAGGTAGAAGTCAAGTATTCGGATTTCTCCACATGTGGTTCACAGCTTGTTCTGTACACTCCGACACATCAGCACATCGAAATCGAGGTGTTGATCATCATCAATGTAGAGCTTGGCGCAGATGTCCTTTGGGCCTAATTCCCATACCTTATTATGACAACAATGTGAATTTATCAGTATAGGGTTGTGAAGATTGTTAGGTTTTTATGGAGATCATGAACTGGTCAATGTTAGAGCACCATTGAAAACCTGGAAGCGCTAGACGGCCCTTTCGTCCAACTATGGAACTCCTCAGCAGTGCAATATCGTGGATTGGTTGAAGATGGCGGTCTCATATCAATCGGTTCATGATTTCAATAAAAACCCAATAATCTCCACAACTTTATACTAGTAAGTATCATATGCTCACTAGTGAATAGTTTAAAAAGGTAATTGTCGGAGTTCTAGTAAGAAGCCATGACCAGTGAAGTTGAGCCATGTCGGGTGTGAGGCAGTTACCCATTGCAGACAATGGAAGATGGTCGCACTATATCGTGGATTAGTTGTAGCAAGATACTAACACTTTTTGACCTCGGCTCATTGGTCTAGGGGTTAAGCGTTTGCGTGCAGGGTCGAGGGTGCTGGATTCCAATCTCACATGCATGATCGCGGAGACGTACTGCTGATGAGCCCCATATTAGGACGAAAGGACTTTCCAATGCTTCCAGGTTTTTAATGGTGGTCTAACATTGATATTTTCCTAATTTCAATAAAAAAGTATGAAGTTAACGGTCTAAATGACAAAAGATATCGAAATATAGTATTAATGACAGTGAAAAGGAACAAGCATAAAGAATATAGTCCGAAAAACATAGTCGAAAATTATGCACTAAGAATTGTTGAAACTCAAATATCAAACAGAAGATAAAAAATATTTGGTTTTTAACTACTGATACATAAATCTAATGAATATAAACTTGTATATATCGTTATATAGCCTATATTTAAAGTTTCAAACTTTTTATTATGAAGATTTAGTACGGAGCTCTTGATGAATGCATTAAATCAACTGATATCCTTCTTTTTTTGTTTACAAAGTTCAGACTATGTTTTACTTAATACGAATTCTATTTCCACGTTCAGTTTATTTATTTATTTGAACACATAGATATTGGTACAAGGAGGCACCAAATACATATACGCCACACAAATCTCATTTGATTTGTGTGAGGGCAGTGATACTCTCCGGGTACCCAAACCGAAGCAGGTAGTTTTCTTAGGAGGCCACACCCGGAGCCTTTGATCTTAAGGTCTGATCCACGAGGCAGTGGAGCAACGTAAGGAGATGCAGTTTCATGGTAGCCGGTGACCTACGATTGGTACATACACCATTTGATCTCTCAGAATCCTGGAGCCCATGTTCACCATTAGTTTGTAATCACAGTTTTTCAACTCCCCTAAGTGGACCCTCCATGTCCACCAACCCTGTTAGAGCGCTGGACATTCACTTTATAAAATCTGTTAATTTTTTCAGATCTATTTATTATAATTCTAAAGTTTAGTTGTAGAAGACATTAACACTGTTGGATACCAACTCAGTGGTATAGTGGATAAGCACTCATATGCAAGACTGATAGACTCTGGTTTCGAATCTCGCGAGATGAGATCGTGGATGCACACTTCTGAGGAGTTCTATACTAGGACGAAAAAATCGTTCAGTGCTTCCAAATTTTCTATGGTGATCTAGCTTCAATTGACTGATGAATTCAAAGTTAACAACACATCTAAATGATTGGACTATAATATTAAAATAGTTATTCATCTTAATGTTTTAATAACATTTAGAATAAATTCAATAATTTTTTCGTGTGTAAACATTATTCTATTGTATTTAACTATGCTGATCATTGATTGTTTATATTTATTTATTAATTAATAGAACTTGGTCTTATTAATGGTCAAATAATTCATGTTAGTGATATTACAACACCTAGAACATTATCTATAAAGCTTCATTTGGATAATAATTATAATGCAAATCATTTGATCACTATCAATTAACTTCATTAAAATAAATTGTTTATTCATGATAATAACATGATTATTATGTTTATTATGTCTTATGTCTTTGTATATGATTATTTTAGTTGTCATAATAAATATAACATTATTTGTTGTTTTATTTTCTCTTTTTAAATGATACTACTTTATGGTGATTTTTCTTTTTCTATTCATGAGAATGTTTATATTAGATATTTGAAAGTCATTTTCAGCATAGCTGTTATTGTTGTTTGTTTGTCAAGAGTAGCATTTAGTGTATGTTTGTACATATAAAGTTCAAAGTGTATCTGTATCTGTTTGTTCTATTTATTTATTTATATTTATTTTAACACACAGATATTGGTACAAGGAAGCACCAAAAACATATGCGCCACACAGATCTCATTTGATATGTGTGAGGGCTATGATACTACCACGAGTGCTCAAACCGAAGCAGGTGGTTTTCTTAGTAGGCCACACCTGGAGCCTTTGACCTGAAGGTCTGATCCACAAGGCAGTGGAGCAACGTAAGGAGTTGCAGTTCCATGGTAGCCGATGACCAACGATTGGTTCATACGCCATTTGTTCCTTCAGGATACTGGAGCCCTTGTGTACCATTGATTTGGATTTAGGGTTTTCCAACTCTCCTAGGTGAACTCTCCATGTCCACCGACCCGGTTAAAGTGCCGAACGTTAGCCTTTCGTCCTCTGAATTTCGTAAACAACAGCGATGCCACGAGAAGGCAGTGAGTAGAACTTCCCTGGCAGAGGCTATATACGCGTGGCTATGTTTGTTCACGAAAGATAATGCATGGATCATTCAATATTACAGTATTGAATGTAGTTATACCGCTTTGCATTGTGAATAACTAACCTTTTTTTCATAAATTAATGTAGTTAAGAAATGTATTTTATTATATTTACATAAAGATTTCTATCCCTTATGTATTTTGAGTGTAGAACATTTAACGCTTCAGTGTTAAGAGTTTCTTGAATTTGTATGTATTCAAGTCAGTACTAGATGTAATGATTTCTAGTACATACGATTTGTTGATGCTCATTATTATTGAGCTTAAAGTTAGTTTTGGATACTTTCATTATTGTTTCATTCTATACGATGTCATTTATAATTAGGCCAAGATTACATCAACAATGAATCATCATCTAACAACTGTTTTAATTTCCTTTGGTTTTTACATTGAATATAACATTAATTTTGATCGGTTAACTTTCTAGGATTGAAATTATTGACACATATATTTAACGGGTGAAATTATTTAAGATAAAACTTAAAAATTAGTTTCATCTGATGCCTAATGTTGATAAAAATCATACCTTAAATTCTTGTCAAAATATTTTAATATACTTCTGAGATGAATATTCTCATCTGATCCCTTAGTGTTCCTGAGTGTTGTTAGAGGTATGAGGGCGGCGGTTATCAATTCCCGGTTGCCCACACTGTGGAAGGGTTCTTCTGGAGGTGCCTGAAAAGAAAATTGGATTAGAGGTGGTCTTAGTGACCTAAGAGCGCAACCGCAGTGCCTAAGGGAAAACTGCTTGAGGTCGGTCACACACGACCTTTTTATGAGTAATTTCCGTGTCAGTTCCGTACTTGTTGAGACCTTCCCGCCGGAAATGGATATTCATGGGATAAGGCGAGGTGTGCATTTTTAGGGTCGACCTTTTCTAACCCCACCCCCCTGCCCGCAAATGCCCTGGTATGGCCGAGAGCGGGGTGGGTTCGCCCTCCCTCTCGAAATACTTTCACACGGCCACGGGTATACAGCCTCTGCCAGGGGAGTCCTACTCACTGCCTTCCCGTGGCGGGGGTGTTGTTTACAAAAATGAGAGGACGAAAAGCGAATGTCCGACGCTTTAACCGGATTCCAAATCAATGTTGCACATGGGCTGCAGTGTCCTGCGGGAACAAATGGCGTATGAACCAATTGTTTGTCACCGGCAACCATGGGACTGTATCTCCTTACGATGCTCCACTGCCTTGTGGATCAGACCTTCAGGTCGAATGCACGGGGAGTGGCCCCCTAAAATAACCACCTGCTTCGGTTTTCTCACCCAGGCAGTATCGCAGCCCACACACAACTAATTAACTGAACTGTCTATGATCATGGAAACTTATTCTCTTGCTTCGACGAACATTCAAATGATTCAATCATTATTATTATTATTTACGACGTCATTATTCACACTCTCTTTATACTTATTTTTTCGACTTATACATCAGCTCGTCTATGGTGAAAATTCGACTGTATCTAAACGTTCTCGAGTCACTGTCCGGTTGAAGATTGTATGTTACCACCGAATACAAGGACTGAAGCAGTTTTTCTGAAACCACGTGCATCATTCAAACTGGCTGCCTTCAATGTTCGCACACTTATGCAGGTTGGACAACAGATAGGGCTGACTATGTCTTTGGAAAGTCTTCATATCGATGTCTGCTGTCTATCCGAGACCCGTATCCAAGACTGGTGAAGTACTACAAATTCTCTCTACATCTGTCACTTCAAAAAGCTTGTTTTACGTGCGCCTATCCGGGGACCCTGTGGCATCTTCGTCTGGTCTTGCTGGCGTTGGTGTCGCACTAAGCGCTAGAGCTGAGGCAGCACTAGTCGATTGGATCCCCATTAACAGTCGGTTATGTGCTGTTAGATTAGAAAGTTCCATCAAAGTGAGAAGAAATTGGCGTGAGAAACGATGTCTTTTCGTCATATCCGCCTATGTCCCGACAGATTGCAGCCCGGATGCAATCATAGATGAGTTTTACCACCAGTTATCTGTTCTTCTCCAGAAAGTGCGTTCGACAGATATTGTAGTAATAGCCGGAGACTTGAATGCTCAGGTCGGGCATCTAGGCACAGAAGAGAGTCGTTTAGGTGGCCGATGGGGACTTGTTGGTCGCAGGTCAGATAACGGGGACCGTCTACTGCAACTGTGCACAGACCAAAACCTGTTTCTGGCTAGCACTAACTTTCGGCACAGTCATCGCCGATGTGCCACCTGGCGTCCTCCCTCTGCATCTCAATCCTGGACTCAGATTGATCACATCGCGATCAGCTACCACTGGCGTGGTTGTGTACAAGGCTGTCGCTCCCTTTGGAGTACCTATCTGAACTCTGACCATGCCTTGGTCTGCGCCAATCTTGCCTTACTTTTCAGTGGACAACGAAGTGACCGCCATCAACGGATTGATATTAGCAAGCTGGTTGCAACTTCTGTTGCAAGTAAGTATCAAACCGAGCTAGTTTCTAGGCTAGCTACCATTCCACCGAAAAGTATAGATAAGCATTGGTTGTAATTGCATAACACCATGAAAATGGCGGGTACAGTCAGTTGTGGGTTTGCGAAACGTCCCGCTTTTCAGCACTGGGTTTCTGCAGGTTCCTTACAACTCATTGAAGCCCGTCGGTCTACTCCGGGTGACCGTGAGTTTGACCATAAACGAAGGATGTTACGTAAGGAAATTGGGCAAAGCTTGCGTAAGGACCGAGAAGCCTGGTGGTCGAAGCGTGCTAATGAGCTGGAAGCAGCAGCTGCATCTGGTAACTACCGGAAGCTCTTCCAACTCATCCGAGCCACTGGCAGCAAGAAGTCTGATGTGAGTGAAACAATCTGCGAGGATGTTGGGATGCCAATCACCAACATCCATCGACGTCTTGGACGAAGGGCAGTTCAACTGGCCTGCTGCTCCGGCAACATCGGTCAGACTGTCCTGCCCTCCATGACCGGTGACGACTGATCCACCAAATGAGGCGAAAGTCCGCAAGGAACTCCAACTCTTGAAGCGCTACATATCACCTGACCCAGATGACTTACCTCCGGCTCTTTTTAAAAATGATGGTGACTTTCTTACTAAGGAATTGACGACGTTGTTTACAAAGGTTTGGAACTAGAGAGTGTATCAGCGTCATGGAATGAGTCGGTCGTTGTCCCTATCTTTAAAAAGGGTTCACGTCGTTCCTGTAACAACTATCGGGGTATAAGTCTACTTCCGATTGCGTCCAAGCTATTGGCTTCTGTCATACTTCGTAGGTTGTTCAAAACCCGAGAAAGATTGACTCGCGAGGAGCAGGCTGGGTTTCGTTCTGGTCGAGGATGTATTGATCATATCTTCACCCTCTGCCAAATGTTAGAACACCGCCATACTTATCAAAGACCAACAATCGTAGTGTTTCTTGACATCAGGGCTGCCTTCGATTCGTTGGACAGGACTGTTCTCTGGGATTGTCTATTGAAGAAGGGTGTGCCTGGGAACTTCATTAACATCCTAAAAGCCCTATATACAAACACCCCAGACAGAGTGAGGGCACACAATGACCTCTCTCCATTGTTCCACTCAGGCAGTGGGGTTAGGCAGGGTTGCCCAATCTCATCATCCCTCGCTAACTTTTCCATCGATAACATTCTGGAAACAGCTCTGATGGATGTAGGCAATGGCGGTGTGGATCTTTTGCCTGAAGAAAGACTTCTCGACCTTGAGTATGCGGACGATATTATCTTACTGTGTGATAATGCCCAAGGCATGCAATCCGCACTTAATCAGTTGGGAATCAGTGTCCGTAAGTATGGTATGTGCTTTGCACCTTCGAAGTGCAAAGTACTTCTACAAGACTGGCAGGATTCCAATCCTGTAATCACCCTGGATGGTGAGCAGATAGACGTAGTCGAAAAGTTCGTGTATCTGGGTAGCTACATAAGTGCTGGTGGGGGTGTGAGTGATGAGATCAATGCACGTATAGTGAAAGCCAGAGCGGCTTATGCCAATCTGGGCCATCTTTGGCGCCTTCGTGATGTTAGTCTGGCTGTGAAAGGTCGGATCTACAACGCGTCGGTGAGAGGAGTTCTACTCTATGCTTGTGAAACCTGGTCTATCCGAGTTGAGGATATTAGACGACTCTGTGTTCGATCATCGTTGTCTCCGAAGGATTGCTGACATCCAATGGCATCGTGTGTTCGGGCACAGAGATGATAATGCAATCGATGTCACCATCTTGAAACGCCGACTTCGGTGGTTTGGACATGTTGTACGAATGTCGTCCCAAAGAATTCCACGTCGTGCATTATTTGCCGACTCTGGGACTGGTTGGAAGAAGCGGAGAGGTGGTCAGTGCATGACATGGTGTCGTGGCATGAAAGAAAGCTGCAAAGGACTGGCTTCTGTTGGTCCTTCACGACTCCCTGGTTGGGGTCTGAGAGATGGTGCTACACAGTGGCTAGAGACGTTATCAGATATGGCTCAGAATAGAAGCCAGTGGCGATCCTGCTGTAACCTTCTTTTACTTTCTTCATAAAGCGTGGTTGTATCTTCCTTAACTGAAAGATTTCTTCTGATTGTACCCTTCTGTTCCCCTACTATTGCTTTTATTATTACTACACTACCTTACACCAATCTCTTCGTTATTGTTTTTTTATAATTAGAATTATTACTTCTATTTCACGTTCCTCACTTTTTTATCTTAGATTCTGATTGTTTTGTGTGGCGCATATATATTCGGCGCACTCCTGTACCAATATATATGTGTTCAAATAAATAAATAAATAACCCCACCCCTCGTTGTGTGAATGCAGCATCGCTGTTATGCTGGCTGTCTGAAGGAAACATCTTACTGCTGTCACATTTCTGTACAGTCAGCAGTACGACTTCGCCTTCGGACCTTGGGTTTGCTGCTTTATTATTAACGCTCTTCAACCGACCTGTCTGACATGGTAGGACCTTGAGGAACGATAGTTGCAGCCAGTATAGCTCGATTGGTTAATTGCGATAGGCAAGCCCGACCACCACGTCAAGGTAGCATTAACGGTCGGGTAATCTGATCCCACATCCGAATAATTTAAATGGCGTGCTTCCGACTATTTCCTGTCATGAACATATAGCTGCTGATGTTTCTTTCTAATGAAATAAATATTTAACGTAAGAGTTTCCGTTATTCTATAACATTAGTTGAAAATCATGGATGAAATAATTCATATAGCTTACTTTGTTAATTAATTGTGAAAATACTTTTATTCTTGGATTGATTTCTACTAGGGAGAGCTGTTTCTTCTGTTATCGAGAGTTCTCGATAACGGGCATTCATAACCTCACCTAGAATCGACTTTAAATGCTTTAGGTTCGCTTTACTATTATTTAAGGTACTGTATTAGAATCCATTGATTCACCATTCCAACTTCAACCAATAAAGCGACGATAATCGAATCCCATTATGTTGGTTTCATCACTGAATATGGTGAAACCGTAGTAGCAAAAACCTCACTAGAATGCTGGGATTTGATCTCATGTATGTTTACGATTATTGTTTAGGTGTTTATGTCAATTAGTTCAATTCTACATAGTTTCTTTGAATAAGTGTTAGAACATGTAACTACACGTTTTCCTATCGTTCCTAAGTTGGTAGGGGATTTAGGGAGACACATTCGCCCTCATCATTCTTGTCTAATTTTGGAATTGAGATGGCTTCAAAAACGTATGCGTTGACGCTGCAACCTTCAATCTTTAATTCGTTGTATTATCTCTTGAGGTACAGTTTCCGCAAATTACATATTACCAGTTGATTGGTGTTTGTATTTGTGATTTAAGCTTTCCAAATTCGGAGTTTTAAATGCTTTTAAAATAAACTTGTTTTAACATCACACTCCTATGGGTATATTTTGGGACATTTGCAATTCGAGCCAAATGTAGAATAGTCTACTGCGAAAGTTATTTTGGCTGTAATAGCTTTACTGTATGATGCTTCAGTGTGTATAGTTCTGCCATACTTGTTTCACTTCATCTTAAAGATGATTAATTATTACTGCCCCCATAACTTCGTTCTAAGTCGGTCCTATCCGTATGTGAACATAACTGAAATTGTTATTTGTTCAGTGTAGTTATTTTGAAAACACTCTTCTGTGGCTTTTATTCCTGAGGCATCTTCATGTTTTCTACAGTATGTACTGTTTGTAAGAAACTGAAAGAATTATTACGTACCAATCCTTAGTCTCATTGTCTTACCGTTTGTTAGCTCTAATATTGTAACTCATTCACTAAATACTAGTTTATTTACCGAACATCAAACAACATGGTTCCTTTACTGATAGTCATTTACTAATCGATTTGGCTGAATAAATAAAAATCTGTAAAGATTATTAGTTATCTGTTACAGAAGATTAAGAATCCGTTCATAATTACTGATATACCTAGATATAATTAGAGAAATTGATTTATAGTTAGAACGCTTAGTAAACGATTGTCTAGCTTGGAGTTACATTCAACGAACAGCTGTTAGATTTTTTGCGTTTGACGTTCCAGTAATTTGTATGCATTAGGCTATAACTCACATTTTTATTTGGAATAGATACATCACTTCAATCGTTCATCTTGGTGTTCCCACCTATGTTTATTTTATGGTAATCGAATTTCCTTACCTATAACCAATCAACAACCACAATCCTTTTTAAGTTCATATGTTGCTAGCAAACCAAAGAAATCTTTCAAGTTGGTGACCTTGATTTCTGAACCATATGCTTCACATGACGCTTGGCATCCAACTATACCCCCTCCACCTGAATCAGGTCCTGCAGGTTGTTGCACATGGTCAAGTGTATTTTCCGATTCTATTTCAAAGCCAATCATTATTGATGTACGAAGTCCTGATGAATTTAATGAAGATCACATTCACGGAGCAATAAATCTTCCTGTTTTAAATAATGAAGAAAGAGCAATCGTTGGCCGTTTATATAATCAAGGTAAGCTGCTACGTTAATTATTTGTATGGCAAACTCAATATTTAAGTTAACTCTCCTGAATTCTTTATATAAGAACTTTGGTATTTGATTATATTTCCTTCAAAAAACTTGGACCAGCTTGCCCAGCGAAACGTTGGATTTATTACTTCAAAGTCGTTCGCTGTGATCTCACAAATACATTCTCCCTTCTTGATGTCTCCTGAATTCTCGGTTCAGATTACTTCATTTCTTGAAATTTGGACAACTCACTGGTAACAATAGTTTCCAAATTACGGCTAAAAATAATGTATATAAATCTTTTCCACAGTTACCACGTTGTATTGTAGTGAACGGGAACACAGGCAGGGACAACCTAAATGTATTTCAATACAACATAACAGAATATCTTGGTAAAGTCTGAGAACCATACGGTAAATTATTCATTTGTAAAATGTCAATTAATTGTCTAAGACTTGACTGTTCCTTCGTTTCCACACCAATCACTTTCTTTTCTCATTCTCTTTTCTTCGGTCTTCTTAACCATCTGCCTCCAGGCATCTTACTTTTGATAGATGAGACAAACTAATAATCTAAATTTACTGTCTGTTTAGAGAATAATTATCAGTATAGGGTTGTGGAGATTATTGAGTTTAGAATGATATCCTGAATGGATCAATGTTAGTCCACCATCGAAAACTTGGGAGCACTAGATGGCCGTTTTTTCTTCCTAGTATGGGACTCCTCAGCAATGCGCGTTCATGATCCTGCACATGAGACTCTTACCCCGGACCCCCGGTCTCTCACGCGAACACTTAACCTCTAGACCACTAAGCCGGCATCCAACGGTAGAGAATAATTTTAACTTAAAGTTGATAATTATCATAGAAGATTTCTCGTCAAAATTAGCGCTTGTTTTTTATAATGTAGTTCGATCCCCTATTAAAGTTTCTTGTATTTATTATCTTTGGAGTGAATATTCTTATTCGGCTATAAAAAAACGTTTGCCATTCTGCTAATAATTTTTTATCATTCTCATTATATTATGAAAAACAAAGAGAATTTCAGCAAAATAATCTGTTTGCAATAAATTCGCCGGTCTATGGCAATATTATAATTTATGGACGAACCATTCAGATTTAAGATAACAGGTCTTGGATTTTGGCGCGAAATTCATTCACCCATTATAGTTGATGTCAGTTCGTGATGAAGACGCTTAATCTAATTCCTAACCCTAATGTACAACTAAATTTTTATTCTAATTCCTCACACTAATTTATAACTCTCATTTACCTCTATTAAGTAGGTGAACATTCTAAGGTCATTTTAGCGTTGTTCATAGGTCGTCCATAAGTTATAGTCTCACTGTTGTTTTTTTTTCTTCAATGGTTTTACGCATGTAACGTTTATTAGTGAATCTACATGAATGTTGATTATCATTATCATGCGAAATGTGATTTATATATGTATACCCAAAATCCAATGTTCAATATTGAAACTTTCATTGCTAAATTAACTATTGCGAACAATATTAAGCCATTGAAGTGTCTATTTTTGTTTAAACTGGTTAATTACTGGTAAGTACATTAATTATTCGTTTTGTAAATGTTTTACAATCACTTATTTAAGATCAAGGTGTTTCCACAAGTAGCTTTTTCTGATAAACATTGGGTGTTAAATGATACTTGTAAGGCATAAAGCAATGTATTGTAGATGTCACGAGTAAATGGACGTGTGCAGGTCAATATATATGTACGCCGTTATAAGCTAATTTCATTAGTTCAATCGTTTGACATTTTAATACAATCCCAATGATTCGAACACTAGTTCTTCTCATAGATTTCATTACCGATTGATCTTAGTCACACAACTATAACTCCAAGTTATGGATCAATGGACAGCTGTTTTTGTCCTCAATTATGTGCGTTCACAACTTCTGTCCTTAGATGCTTGATCTCCAGACAGCTGAACCCTGTGTCCAATGGTTTACATATGTAACTCCAATCACTTGGCAATATTGCTCGACTATCTTCCATTAACTACATTGGATCATTGCCTCACGCGCAACATAGTTTAGCCCTAGTGGTCACGGCTTCTCACTAGAACTATTGAAAATACATATCAAAGTAAGTCACACGTAAGCACATGACTATTATTACTGTTGGAGGTTTGTAGATGTTGAATTTCCATAGAAAGCATCATCTGTTGATTTTAGTGTCACAACCAGAAAGCACTTAAAAACTGTCAAGTTGTGGTACGAGACTCTTAAACAGTGTACATCCACGCCTCAACTGGAAATATTAACCGGAACCTTCGGTCTCGCGAGCACCTAAATACTAGATTACTGAGCCGGTGGACAGTAATGTGAATATTTAAGTAGTCCTTCCGTTTGAAATTAAATTCACATTCACAAAGTATTCACGCATAATTAACAAATTATCGAGTTCAGTTTTGTAAAATATCACCACAACTTACTGTTCATGGTTCAAATAATTTCGTATTGTTCGCTTAAAACGTTTACCAAAAAAAGCATATCTTTCACTTAGTTCGTAGACGAATATAACGACTATATGAATAGGATATCATGAATTTTGGTTCTCTGAGCTGGATGGTTTGGTCGTGGAGCTTTCATCGTTCTTCTGAACGATAACATCAGTACAAATTTCAGGTAGAAGTTATTTCATTAAGTTCTCGTCGTCTGCATGTCATCTGTGTTACTTTAAATTCATCATTATAAAATGAATTTAATCAGAAGTAGTTTTAACATAGACACATCAGTGTAACTTAACAAGAATGTAAATCATTTTAAGAGACAAAATAAAATATTGCAAATGTATAGTTTTTATATGGAAGAAGAACATTGTACAATAGGTGTTGTTCTAATTTTCACAATGGAAATCTTTAATATTGTAAAATCGCGTGTGGACCCTGTTGCATTCAAGTCACTCAATAAGTTTCTGAAGTTTAATGCACATCTCACAGAAGCGAAAATGAGTTTAACAAAAGCAACTCAGAGTTCATGTTACTCTACTCCAAACCTTTGAAATTATCTTAGTGTGAATTTCTTTCAGCTAAATAATATACTGACTTCACAATTTCAGAATATTTTTTTGTATATTATTGTTTTCCCAATACACATAGATGATCGTATTCAAGCTCGCCTTTATGGTGCATCTTTGGTCTGTGCTAATATTAGTCGTTGTTTGAAAGAACTTTCTTATCAATATGGTTTACAACTAGACAATTCGGTTCCTGTAAATCATCACTCTAATGGAAACAGGAAAATTGTAAAATATCCCGATTTTTTTATTTATTGTTGGCGTGGAGGTCAAAGATCTAATTCTTTAGCAACTATATTATCTGAAGTAGGCTGGCCGGGTAATATATATACACTTGTTGGTGGATATCGTTCTTGGCGTAGACTTCTACTTCGTCAGTTGGATGCATGGCCTCGTTGGTCTATACTGAGTCCGTTTTGGGTCATATCTGGTCTTACTGGTAAGTTTTTACACTAATGTTATTTGTCTTAACGGAATTATGTCATATGTATTTCTGGTGATTGATTTTAGAACGATACTACCTTTAATACCTTATGAGCGTTACTTTTTTAATCTTCAAGAGTGTGAGAAATGTGTATTTGTTGTTCAGTAACAAAATACAATCAGTTTATTAGTCATTATTTAGATTCGAACTTTTCTCCCACTATTTCGGTATAAGCAGTCACGTATTATCACCATCTGGTTTTCTAATTTCTTCGATGTATAACTAAACATACGAGTCTGCATTTTTTTACGGAATCCCAGCTTATACCTTCAACTGCAAAAGCTCAACCGAGGATTTATTGCAACTGACGTATATCTTGAAATGTTCTTATTTGACTCTGTGTTGTCAATGATACATATTCTAAATTCGATATCCAGTAGGTTCATAGACATACACACCTCTCAAACCTTAACTTAGAAAGTAAACAGCTCTCTATGTACAACAGAAAGTAGAGAGAGTTTAGTTTCGTTTTTCTGAAAACTTCGCCAAATATTGATATTAGTGTAATTTCTCTATAGTTCTCACATTTTGTATGATCTTTTTTTGGTACTTTGATAAGGCAACTTTCTTTCTACTCTGAGTTTGTGGGGAGGGGACGATGCCACTTATAACCATATTATTGAAAACACAGACTTGTCAATCTCTCACCATTCTCGTTTCTTTCTCCCAGTCTATGTCGCCCCATGATTTCTTCATACCCGTTGTTCACACCGACCCCGACGTTCAGGTCCGTCATCAGGATGGTCATTTCTTTTTGTAGGTTACTCTGTACGATGGACTCTATTCTCTCATTAAATTTATCTTTATCATCGTCGCTGCTTTCATTGATGAGTGGATGAGTTTCTTCGTCATCTCTTCCTTTGTTTGTTTTGTAGGATGCTTCGATAATCCTGAAGCCATGACATTCTCATTTTATAGGCGCTCTTCTAGTTTCTTTGGAGAACATCAATGCAATCGCTTGCGTATGTGGGACTTTGTCTTCTTTAGGATCATAATATAATAGCACTTGCCAAAGATAGTCTTCATGTAGACATTTCATGTACATATATTAATTGTGTTGTTCTGGTTTTTAGAAGGGGTTCTGACCTCGTGACTTATGAACTATATTGGTTTTCATCATGAGGCATCATAACGCTTCTAAATGAAGACCTTTTGACTCTCAAGGTAGATTTCGAATGGTTTTTACTGGTTGGGTTTTTTTTCCAAGGTCGTTTTTATAGGATGGGATCGCTAATCCTATGATCAACCCTTTAGGACCGAGAGTAACCCTAGAATAGCTTTAGGTGTATTTTGACGAGAAACTAACGACGTAAAAAGGATCCGTGTTATTCTACCTAAAATTTTGTCCTTGCTCTCTTTAGGCTAGTATAAGGAACTATGTATATGAGTGTTTAATTTTTTTCCATTTCTTTCTTTGCTTGTTGATCACATAAAAGGTTCCGGGAAATCTTTAATACTTCAAGAGTTACACGATCATGGTGAAACCGTTTTCGATTTAGAAGCTTTGGCTAAACATAAAGGTTCAATGTTTGGTGGTGATTGTGTATTATCAAATAGTGACACTAGCGATCATCAAAGCTCTACCAATAAAGGTAGTCAACAAAAGTTTTTTGAATCTCAACTTCATCATGTAATGATGACAAATAAGCATCGATTGTCATCCTGCAAAAATATTTTATGGATCGAATGCGAATCACGGCATATTGGACCAGTTTGTGGGTTATCTGATGGTTTATGGTCACGATTAAGATCTACAGATCCAAATGTTGGCACCCATCGATTATGGATTGATATTACAGAAGAAGCAAGAGTTGCTTGGATTTTAGAAAATTATTCTACTGTTACTCGGAACGTTCCAAAAGTTCTAGCTATTCTCAAAAGGTCAGTATTGAGTGTATTGTGTGGAGTAAAAATTAATTCAAGTTTTCTTATTGACGATCTGCAATCATTAAACATCTCATCATAGTACATGTCATGTTGAGTTACTTGGACTACCAGACAGATTACTACATTTTTGATAAAATATATTTAGTAATAAAAGGTAAACGAGAAATTCTTCACTACTTAATCATCCATCGGTTGTAACACGAATAATCCAACCTATCGTCATAAGTTACATTTTTTCATCAACTTTGTTTTTGCTTTCGGTTTTTTTTATAGATTAACTCAATTGGATAGCCCGAACATAGTTCTACTATGTGTAGGATAGAAGACGATAATCAGCGGTGAAAGTTATTCAGTTAAGTACAACTATTGATTACTGGGTAGTGGCTAGTATCATATTTGTATAGTCCTCAGTGTTAGTCAAATTTTATTGAACAATTTGCAATCTGGTCTGGTCTAAATGATTTTAAATTGCCTGGCCTATTTTTTTTATGGTAGGTATGTAGGTAGGTAGATGGCTGGAGGTAGTTGGTAAATATTTGTCATGCAGAATATCGGTATCTGCAAAACATCTGAGTGGTAACGTTTCAGACTGCGAGGCTGAATAACTCAGATGGGGATCCGGTAGTGAACAGTAATGCACTCAGGATCGCAATTTCACCTTGCTGACTAGTGTCATCTGGCTTATACTTTTCAATACATGAGTATAAATTTTGTTTTTTGACGTTAAGATTCGACTCTGTAGACTGTGGCAATGTCTATCATTTGAAAGCATACCAAAGACGTACATCAACCTTGTACAGGCTCTTTACTTGAACACTGGTGGTTGAGTTAAAGCTTATGTCCAACTCGTCAGAATTTTCAACTTCAAGTAGTGTTCGTCAGGGTTGTCTGCTTTCTCCATTTTTACTTAACTTTGTCATAGATATACTTTTAAAAATAATACATTCATCGTCTGACTTTTCAAGGATTGATCTCCCACCAAGATATTCTCTTGTTTTCTTAGTATACGCAGATGATATAGTTCTGTTTGGTGAATGCACTGACAAAATTGATAATATTCTGAGCGTTTTAAAGAATAATGCAAGCATGTTTGAGATGTGTTTCTCTTTCTAAATGAAAAAATGTTGCTTCGGCACTGGTCTGCATCAGCATCCAATTAATGACAAGTACGAAGTAGTTGAGTGCTGATTGGCTGTTGTCTAATGAAATCTCAACATGTATTCGAGAAGTTCGATCGACTTTTGCCAATTTGCATCACTTGTGATGTAAGCGAGATATCCATCTTCCAACCGAAGGACGAGTTTACCACGCAGCAGTTCTCTTCATCCTTTTTTATGAATGTGAAACATACCCATTAAGGGTAAGGGATATTCGTAGGTCACTAAGATTCTATTATAGGTGTCTTCGAAGCATTGTTCACGTATTTTGGATCCATTTAGTACGCGATCATTGGGTTAGGAATAAGGTACTAAATAAGGATGGCTAATCGATTGATGAGTTAGTAAATCTTCACGAACTGAGGTGATTGAAACGTGTGATACATATGCTCGACCAGTGCCTTCCTCGACGGTCGATTTCGTCTGATTTAGGAGTAATCTGGGAGATAGCTAGAAGAGACCAAACCAAGCCTTGGGGCCAATCCATAAAGTCATTGACAGTCGAACTGGGTTTAGATTGTCTGATTGAAGTCCATGTGATTATCGTAATCAGTGGTTAGAGACTTTGAATGACGTCGTGTAAATTGTTTGTAATGGCTCAAGCACATCCACTTTTTGTCTTTTCGCAAATTCTGACTTCATAAATCCCTCACATAGTTCTTGTTTCACTAATTTATATTTTCTCAGATGGTATCTTCGATGTCCAATCTTTCGTATTACCAGTGTCACTATTACTATGTCTGCTATCGGATGATTTGACCTGAAAATTTCATCTTGGTGTGCTACTGGGTTATGGCAACTTGAACCGATGTACATATATAACAGGTTCTACTTTGAACAGACCGACTGACTTTTGTTTATGGAGTCCAATGTTCCATCACATACATACCTTTCCATCTTCTCTTTTCAAATCACATCCTCAATCACCAGTCTTTGTTGTCAATGTTTTGTACAACATTATATCTGCCTTTCTTGTCGCTAATTTTTATCTCGTTTTGCTAATGTGATATGTTTCGATGCACGTCTATGTCAGGCTTATATTGTTGATGATTCGCATAGTATAATTCTAGGACAATATCTCGTCATACTTTGAATCTACAGGGCTTGTAATATTCCACTCTTTATATACTTTCATCTTTTCTTCGTTGGATTACATTAATGGCTTTAGTTGCCTCATAATTACCTAGTCGTTGTGTTTAGGTGGGAAAAAAAATAACTTGTAATAAAATTGTATTTGTCTTATTTATGCTTGACTTCATTTAGTTTCTCTTTTTATTATAAATAGTTTAAATGAATATATACCAGATAAATTGATTAATCAGTGGACTGAAATGGTACATCGTGAAGATTTCACCAGTTTTGTAACCGGTTTACTTCGACATCATTATGATCCATTGTATATAAAAAATCGTCGTCACATAATAGAAGATGCTAAAAAGAATGGTTTATTCCATCGTCTCTCTCTTCATAGTGTTGACAGAACAACTATACAAACAAAAATTATACCACAGATATTGGATTTAGCATATACTACAAGTTCTTCTGATCTACAACAAAATCAGTTACCTAAAAGTCATATAGCTATTTAAACTTTTGCATTTTTCTTTTGTATCTTTATTCATATGAAACATATTTCATGTCTTGTTTATAACTAATATTAACACAGAATTGAGTAGCTTCAGTATTTTTTGATATGGTTTATATCTTTCTATTTAACTGTATATAATGGAAACACAAAATGTACACTTGCATGTATAGAACATTACCATAGTTATTCATAATGAGTTAGTTTATATACAAAATGTAATTAGAATTTGGGGGGGGGTATTTTTATTTGTAAGGATTAAATCAAATATAAGTTCTGGACAGAAATTCAGTTTTCATTTTTGTTGTTGTTGTTGTATGTTTAGGTATGTGTCTGTTACAGATTTGTTTGAATTATGCTATTTATAATTAAAGTTAGTTGAGATGTTTGAAAAGAACTAAATGTAAAGAAGTATACATTCGTAGACTGCCCAGGTACATCCGAGAGTGGAGAGTCCGCTCTCCTTCTCGAAATGCTCTCACATGACCACGCGTATATAGCCTCTGCCAGGGAAGTCCTACTCACTGCCTTCCCGTGGCGGGGGTGTTGTTTACAAAAATGAGAGGACGAAAAGCGAATGTGCGGCGCTTTAACCGGATTCCAAATCAATGGTGCACATGGACTCCAGTATCCTGTGGGAACAAATGGCATATGAACCAATTGTTTGTCACCGGCAACCATGGGACTGTATCTCCTTACGATGCTCCACTGCCTTGTGGGTCAGACCTTCAGGTCGAAGGCTCGGGGAGTGGCCCCCTAAGATAACCACCTGCTTCGGTTTGCGCACCCAGGCAGTATCGCAGCCCTCACACATATCAAATGAGATTTGTGTGGCACATATGTATTTGGTGCCTCCTTGTACCAATATCTATGTGTTCAAATATAATAATAATAATAAATACCCAGGACCTTCGCACACTGCTAAGGAGTCCCATACTAGGATGAAACGGCTGTCCAGTGCTTCCAGGTTTTCAAAAGTGGTCTAACCTAAATCGATTCATGAATTTAACTATTAAATTAATACAATCTTCACAAACCCCCATTCTGAAAATAATGTTTTATTACTTCTGAATACTAATGACACTATAGTTTGCTCTGAACGAACTATTAACGAATTTATTGCACTTATGGTTTACTCTGTCTCTATTAGATGGTTAGCCAGGAATCAGTCTACCAAAACACAACTCAAATCAAAACACGTAATTAGCCTGTTTACTACGTGTGACAATAGATAACTGAGTTAGTAAAAAGATTAGGGAAATGTCTATGATACTCCATATACCTGTCATATTATCTACCGGTCTACCTGAATCACTGTATACTTTTGTCTTACTTACGCGGGTTACTCCTCGTGGAGGAGCATAAACCATCCCCTAGCATTCTCAGTCGAGCTCTGCTCTAAGTAATCCTTTCCAGTTTCTATTCATTTTTTTCATATCTTCTTCCACTTCCCAACGCAATATATTTTTTGGTCTTCCCCTTTTACCTCCACCTAGGATTCCAAGTTAGGGTATGACTCGTAATGTAGTTTGATAAGTTCCGTAATGTATTTTCTATCCACCTCGAACGTTTTTTTTCTAATTTCCTCTTCATTTGGAAGCTGGTTTGTTCTCTTCCACAGTAGGCTGTTGCTGATGATATCCGGTCAACGGACATTGAGTATCTTGTTTAGATAATTGTTTATAAATACTTCTACTTTTTTGATGAAGTTTGTGATAGTTCTCGAAGTTTCAGTTCCACACAGTAGAACTGTCTTGACATCCGCATTGAAGATTCTAACTTGAATGTTGGTTGAAAGTTGTTTTGAGTTCCATTTGTTCTTCAATAGTAGGAATGCTGTCCTTTCTTTGCTAATCCTTGCCTTTACATCTACATCGCATCCTCTTATTTTATCGATGATCCTGCCCAGGTATGTAAAACTTTCCATCTCTACCAGAGCTTTTTCGTCAGGTGTGATTGCGTTAGTGTTCCCTGCATTGTATTTAAGCATCTTACTTTCCCCCTGTTGTACTTTTAAGGCTTTTGTAGGCTTGAAGCCTGGTTTAAGGAGGAGGGTTGGGCATGGAGTTAGCGACCCCCTTCCCACAGAAAACAACCTTGCTGGAAAAAGATAACTAGAAAAAAATTAAATCATACTTCTGTCTACACAACAATGTGTGTGGCCCTTGGTCTTTTTGTTATTGTCAATCTCACTTTCTAGTAATTATCTGGCCAGATTGTACCTAATAACATAGAAACACGTTCCACTGCATTTGTATCCGGACTATGACTGAATGACAGTTTACCAGCTCTCAGTTTTTGGGAGACATTCGAAAGTGAAATATAAGCTAATATGGATAGATTTTAAGTGGTTAGATCAAAAAGCCTTGTTTTAAAATAGAATCAAAGGTTAGTGTTAAGACTTTTATTGCAAACTGACATCGCCTACAGTTAAAGAATCCTAATCTTGCATCCTACCATAATAAATTATTTATTTGTCTCTACTGTCTCCTGATTGACTGAAAGTGGTAAGATCTCAAGGTCGTTCTGTGATATAGTACAGCGTTATCTAACATTACGTTTTTCACACGATGTCTTGATTCCGTTATCTTGCTAATTGTTGAGTTTGTAAAATATCCATTTTTGAAAAGCTTATGCTGTGATGTTTTTATTATTAGAGCTGTTTACTATCGGCTAATATATTCTTTATATCAGCAATGATTAAGTCGTATATATGTCTAACATTTTAATCTGGTGGTTGTAGGTCAGTATTGATACAATGGATAAACTATATACCATACTCTTATGAATTTTCTTCCCTTATCCCAACTATATTCGATAGCCCAGTTAGTGGATATACTCGACATTTGATTAAAGCATTGATTGCATTCTCTCCCGAATCCCATAATTTATTTTTACATTAGAACACTAGAAAAAGATCATTTAATTTAATCAAACTTCAAAAATCATCTGATTATACACAAAAAAAGGAAGACTTAATTACTAAGATGTACATAGCTAGGGTTACTTATGGTACACAACTGAACAACATGTTTATAATTAATTACTAGTACTTAATAAACAGAAAATTACATGCTAACAATTATTGAGTGAAATAATAGATTACAATTTCTGATCAGCCCTAATGGGTTGGTGTCTGACGAAATCTCAGCACGGATTCGAAAAACTCGCTTGGCTTTTGCCAACTTAGGTCACCTATGGCGAAGGCGAGATATTTGTCTATCAATTAAGGGAAGAGTATACTGCGCGGTAGTCCGTTCTGTTTTAACTTACGGCAGCGAAACATGGCCATTAAGAGTAGAAGACACTCGTGAGCTACTAATATTTGACCACAGATGTCTTGAAAATATTGCTGGCGTCTGCTGGGATCACCGGGTAATTAATAGTGAGGTTAGACGCAGGGTATTAGGGAATGATGGTAAATCAGTTGATGAGGTTATGAATCTTCATCGACTGAGATGGTTGGGCCACGTGCTAATGAGGTGTGGCAATTTGGACCGATGCATATACGTGCCTGGTCCTACATTGTAGATGACTGATCACAATCCTAATATGTATGTATGTTATCGCATTATCAGAGGATTACTTTCAAATCGTCACATTTTCAATTATTCAACTAATCATAACATACATATGTAACGTTTATACCATCATAAGAATTATCATCTCTCACTTAATCCTAATGCAGTGAACAAGAACACGAGTGGGGACAATCGAATATATTTGGACGTAATATATATTATAGAACGTCTTACTAAAATCTGAGAACCATACCGTAAATAGTTAATTTGCAAAATATTAATCAACTGTGCCAAACTTGACTGTTCCTTTTGCAAATATCAGTCCTTCGTTTCAGATTTCATTGTTCCTGCATTTTCATATCAATTGTTTTCCGTTTCCGTTGTTTCCTTTTCGATCTTCTACTGAAATACATTCCATTCCTGACTATCGTTATATACTACTTATGTAGATATAAGTAGCTCACACCACACTAATGATTAGGTATCAGATATGTTTTATATTGAATATTCTATTTAATTCATCAAACTTTGGCAATATATTGACTGTTTACATCATCTCAATCTCAGGAACTGGTTTATTCACAATAAATTATTAAATTTTAGGTATTCAAATGAATCTCTGTAATCATTTTATTAAATCTGTACGGTTATATACAAATTTCAATTTGGGAAACAAATTGTTTGAATCATTCAAGTTCTCACCATTGAATCTTACTAAGTAAGTTGATTTTCATACACTTTTTTGTTACTGTTTTACTATACAAGATATGCTTTTCCATTTTGTTTCTCAATTGATTACACTTAGTACTTTGATTATTAGTGTTTGAATATGGATTGGAATTCAGGACTTCACGTAATGGAACGTTATATACTGTACTAGTTTTAGTCTACCAGTAGTTACGATCATAAATTAATATCAATTGTTTCACCATTGTAATTTTTAAGACAGTCTCACTACATACACACTCGGCTTTAATAACCACATTTTTCGTTCAATCCAAATGGAACTATCAATAATATGCTAGATGTATTACTAAAGTCTACTCATAATATTACGACGTCATTGGTTTTCTAGAGTAATATAAATTTTATAATCCTTTATTACCTGCAAAAACAAATGATCTATTGTTGGGGATGTTAGATCCCTAGAACTCACTTGGGAAAGGACCTAATTTTGTAATTTTATGTAGAAAATTTGAATTTCTTTGTTTTCGCGGCAAAGGCGCTCTTGTCATCTTCATGTCGTATTTCTCACTGGGTAGTATCTTAAATGCTATTGGTCCGTTGCGTCTTTTAGTATGCTATTTGGTAACTTTCCCCAAGGACGGTTTTGTACTGTATATATACGTTTTTAATTGTAATTGTTGTTATCGCTCGTTTCTGGCTGTTTGCTGAATATACTTCCCCATTCGAAGCTTGGACTTCTCCCTCTAGTTAGCAGGGCTTGGACGCATCAATAGCTAGCTTACTGGTCTTTGGTCACCGAGTCTTGTTTCTCATTCGCAGATTATGTGAACTCGTGATAGATTGAACCCTAGCATCTATGGTAGTTTAAAAATTAAAATTTAACTTGTATTTAGGTATTTTCTAGAAAAAGTAGATTTTTAATCTAAAGCATTACTTTCAATTTTCTTATCATCTTATTACTACTTAAATTATGTTACACATAACTAATTATCCCCAAAAATTTAACATTACGTTGTTCCAGAGGTAGTTCATGAGTTAAGCATAGAATATTGTCCCCAAATTCCCTAATACGGCCAAGGGTGGGGAGAGTTAGCTCTCCTTCTCGAAATGCTCTCATATAGCCACGTGCATACAACCACTATTAGGGAAGTCCTACATCATTGCCTTCTCGTGGGAGGGGTGTTGTTCACAAAATTCAGAGTATGCAAAGCGAATGTACGACGCTTTAACCGGATCGGTAGATATGGAGGATTTACCTAAATGAGTTGGAAAACACTGATTCCAAACCAATGGTGCACATGGGCTCCAGTATCCTGAGGGAACAAATGGTGTATCAACCAATTATTGGTCACCGGTTACCACGGGACTGCATCTCCTTACGTTGCTCCACTGCCTTGCGGATTAGACTATTAGGTCGAAGGCTCCAGGTGTGCCCCCCCCCCAGGAAAACCACCTGCTTTGGTCTGCGTATCTGGACAGTATCATTACCCACACACAAATCAAGTGTTTTGTGTGGTGCATATGTGTTCGGTTCCCTTTTGTACCAATATTGATGTGTTCAAATAATAGTAATTAAATACATAGAATATTCGTATTGTTTATTATTATTTGATAAAGTAACTTGATTATAGTAGAATCATTTCGTGGCGAAAGTAACTTTCACTGATATTTCGTAGTCTATCAGTAAGATTTGTTAATACGTTATTGTTGTGTTTTTTTTTTTGAAATTTTAAAATAGATTTAGCTTAAATCCTCTACAAATTTATAAACATGAATTATCAACAAGTTGTAGTTTAAATCGCTGTCCTGGTATAACGTATCCGCGACCAGTTAGTCGCTATTGGGCAATTAGTAAAATGAGGGATCCTCATCAATACACAGTTGATCCACTTCCATTAGTACGAACAGGAGGACGAGGACCTGACGGTAATACATTTGACTGTATTAATAATGACATTTTACTGTTACATATTTTCTCAATTACTTTTCTCATTTAGAATAATTTCTGTAACAGAGTTATTAAATCAAGTAAACTTCGAGTTTGTTTTTTTTTTCAAGTGTACATATAAAATTCAATAAAACTATGAAATTTAGTACATTGATGATTTCCTTAAGGCTTTTAGGTTGTGTTCTTTTTGGGGGGGGGGTATCAGTAGCAACTGAAAAACATTGAATAAACGAAATATATGTTGAATGAAGTGGCAAATTAACGTCTAGTTTGATAAGTGTTTTCCAGACCTCTAAGGAAATATAATAAATTTCTCAAACGTTCAGTTAACATCAAATAGTAGTACTTGGTACTTTCAAATAACAGTTTATGAGTTTAGTAGTGCCTTTTGTATATCATACCTAATTTAAAGTTATCGCAACTCTTACGTTATCACTCAACTGCTAAAATGGAATAACTCAACTAATTTAAAGCCTATTTGTTAGTTTGTTTGTTTTTTAATGTAAGTTTTCTGAAGTTTCGGTTCAAACCCATGATTTATGAATCTCATTCCAGATTAGCATGGTTGTTTATCGTTGACACTAGATTATGATTACTTTGTTTCATTAATTGCTATGAGTTGTAAGTTATAAATCATTGTATATTGAACAATCAGTTGATGGCTAGATTCTCATCACTTATGTTCAGATTTATTTAAATCTAGGTGAATTTCCTGTTATAATCCTTTTTGAGCCTTGCTTTTGTATATTGAATGAAGTCGACATGACTCAGTTTGATCGCCTGATAAATATCCATTAGTAGAAAATTTAAGCTGTGCAAGTTCATCCATACAATCATTATTCATAAAGCAGCATCTATACCGAGAAACATTTCATTAAAGTACTAGTGAATTTTGACGTCATAGTCTATTAATTATTATTAAAATACATACAGCCACTGCCAGTCATGTCCTACTCACTGTATTCCCATGGTATCGAAGCTAAATATTATTTAAGTTAGTTTAAAGCACATCATGGAGAATAGGGTTGAGATCTTTGTCTGTCAAGATTAGTAAAACGGTAATACTTTAAAGACTGTTTTGTATATTTTTCAGTTTTCTTGGAAATCAAATCCCTATTCTACTTACAAGTAGCAACTACACTGTTGATGTAAAATTTAAGACACAACCGACCTATATTCAGTTCATCATATTTTTATTGTTGTAATATTAGGCTTATTTATTTATAAATTCAAATCATTTACCATTTGTATTTAAATTTTCCTCTCATTTAGGTAAAATTCAACTAAAACACGTTACAACTGGATTAAATCGTCCATGGTTTATGGTAGATCACAATCGTTCCAGACAAGTTTTAACTAAAACTATCCATGAAGAATTAGTATTACAGGTAGGTAAACACAAATTACAGCTTTATTTGTGTCATTGGATGCAATGTAGACAGAAAGGAATATGTTACTGCCTAGTCGTTTTCTCAAAGATAACTTTTCATGACCTATTTATAGTATGTACCGGTTACTTAACCTGCGACGACGCAATCCCCATAAGTTTTCAAGATGTTGATGATTCCCTTTTGCTCTGCATGAATTCAATAATCAAAAGTGAAGATTTATAGGATAGTTAATTTTTAATCAATAAACATTTAAATGAACCCACATTTTCAATAGTAATGTTAGAACTTTAAAATTAACCATGACGAGTGCTTCTTGGACTATATCTATGTATATAGTACTTACTAGAGACATTTCATTAGGCTATTGTAAATATGGGCACTGAGACTGAAATTTTCTTTCACTATCCGTTCCAAGCAGTTTTAACTAAGTACTCTTCAAATACTGATGTTATACCAAAAGCTGTACGCAATCCGTACCACTTACCTGGGTAACTTTATTTTATTTATTTATTTGAACACATAAATATTGGTACAAAAGGGAACCGAACACATATATGCACCACACAAGTCACTTGATTTGTGTGTGGGCTATGATACTGCCTGGATGCCCAGACCGAGACAGGTAGTTTTCCTAGAAGACCACGCCCCGAGCCTTTGACCTAAAGGTCTAATCCAAAAGGTAATGGAGCAACGTTAAGGGATGCAACTACATGGTATCCAGTAACCAACAATAGGTTCATATGCCATTTGGTCCCTTAGGATCCTGGAGCCCAAGTGCACCATTGGTTCGGAATCGGGGTTCTTCAACTCCCCTAGGTGGGTCCACCAACCCTGTTAAAGTGCCGGACATTCTCTTTTCGTCCCCAATTTCGTGAACGCCACCCCCGCCGCGAGAATGCAGTGAGTAGGACTTTTCTGGCAGAGGCTGTATACGCGTGGCCATGTGAAAGCATTTCGACAGGAACAGCGAAATCCTCCACCCGCGGCCGTACCAGGGCACTTGGCGGACCGGGAAAAAACAGGACAGCTGCAGAATAAGTGAAAATATTTTTTCAGCCACTAGGAAAATAATTTTCAATCCACCGGTTTTAAACTGTTACCTTCAACTTCGACTTCTAAGTTAGAAAGTTATGACCATGAGAACAATAAAGAACATAAGTGAAATAATGTTCGTTAAAAAAAACAATCGTCGTGTTCTTTCTTAATAACATTCTTTTTTAATCCATGTTCATAGGTCAAAAAAACATGGTGGAGACATCCGTTTATTGCTTTAGTAGCCTCAGGTGAAGTGAAAAGATGGATTATTGCAACTGCTAGTATGAAACCTGGAGATATTATACGTTCACATGTAGATATCCCTACTATTCCAGGTAAAACTTTACACACTCATTACATCTTTCGCCTCCCTCTTCCTAAATCTTACGATTAGTATTTAAAACACAATTGTGTATATAACTGTAATATAATGGGAATTTTTCAGCGATTAGTATTTAGATAACAACTGTGTTAAAAACATTCTTGAACCACTCTTGTTGTTGAATCTTTCCAGCTACCGATTAGTTGGGTTTAGGCTCATTAACCAATTAGAAAGACAAATTGATTGACTTTGTATTTCTGCATGCAATTAATCTCAGAATATTAGGAGTCGCTTCATATTAAGGATAAAACATTTGCCAATTTCATTTATTATAATGCTCGATTGAAGGTCTGATATCTAGACTTAATATAACTATCAAGAAGTTATGAGATATTTACTAAAACATCAACCAAATTTAAGTTTCAATATTAACGACTAGTCGCAATCACTGATCATACTAATATATGAGAAAGGATCAAAATCATCCTGTAAAAACCATAGAGAGATTAGTCTGACTAATATAACGCTTAAGATATTAGCATCAATAATTATCGAACGCCTAACAAAGACTCGTGAACTGCAAACACGAGAGAACCAAACTGGCTTCAGACCTGGTCGTGGCTGCATCGACCACATATTCACCATTCGTCAGGTTCTAGAACATAGGCATACTTATCGGCGTCCGACAATGGTGGTCTTCCTTGACTTAAAAGCAGCATTTGACTCTATAGACCGAGAGGTTCTGTGGCAGTGTCTGTCATTGAAAGAAGTACATAAACCTTTTGAAGGCTCTTTAATCGAACACTACTAGTCAAATCAGAGCTTATGGTGAACTGTCATCTGCTTTTGCAACCTCAAGTGGTGTCCGTCAAGGCTGTCCACTTTCTCCATTTTTGTCTAACTTCATCATAGACATGCTGATGGAAATAACATTCTCGTCTACTGAATTTTCGGGTGTCGATCTCCTACCAGGAGGTCCACTTATCGACTTAGAATACGCAGATGACATAGTCCTGTTTGGTGAAGACGCTGATAAAATGCAGAGTCTTCTGGTAGCACTAAGCAACAATGCCAGAATGTTTGGAATGCGCTTCTCTCTTTCTAAATGCAAGTTGTTGCTTCAGGGCTGGTCTGCGTCGACACCTGAACTGAGGATGGGGAGTGAAGTAGTCGAACGCGTCGACAACTTCACTTATCTTGGAAGTCTGATCAGCCCTAATGGGTTGGTATCGGACGAAATCTCAGCATGGATTCTAAAGGCTCGTTTGGCTTTTGACAACTTACGTCACCTATGGCGAAGGCGAGATATCCGTCTATCAATAAAAGGACGAGTATACTGAGCTGCAGTTCGTTCTGTTCTACTTGACGACTGCAAAACGTGGCCATTAAGATTAGAAGACACTCGTAAGCTACTAGTATTTGACCACAGATGCTTTAGAAATATTACTTGCGTCTTCTGGGATCACCAGGTAAGTAATAGTGAGGTTAGATGCAGGGTATTAGGGAATGATTGTAAATCAGTTGATAAGGTTGTGAATCTTCATCGACTGAGATGGTCGGGACACGTGTTATGTATGCCTGAACACCGATTACCACGACGTGTAATGCTAACCGGTGTTGGAGATAGTTGGAAGAAAGTTAGAGGCGGCCAAACCAAAACGTGGCATCAGTGCTTGAAGACACTAACTTCTGGTCTGAGCCATGTTGGTAGGTGCAGACTACTTGGTTGTGGTCTGGGCGACTATCGTAACTAGTGGTTGAAGATTCTGGGTGACATTGCTCAGAATCGATCACAATGGCGTCGGTGTATACACTCTTTGTTTTCCCTTAAACCATGAGACTAAATTTGATTTATACCTTTCCTTCTACAAACTAATTCTTCTTTTCTGTATCATATTCTTATATGGAATCTTTTTCATATGTTATCATTGAAGTAACTGCTCCTATGAATTTGGTTTTCATGTTGTTGTACTAATGAGGTGTGGCAATTTGGACCGATTCATATATGTGCCTGGTCTTACGCTGTAGCCGACTGACTGACAATATTAATGACAACAATGAGGAAAAATATCGAGATGATTTGTTTACGTGAATTAGAACCAAGCTATACAAATATTAGCAATGTACCAAAAAGTAAGCTTTATGTGGCATATTAGGAGTAATGCATCGGGAACTTTAAGACTCATTAATATTTCATTTTGTTTACCACTCCGTTTGAAAGTTGGATTACTTATAGTGCTATTCTTCGACTTCTAAAGCTATGGACAGTTAATTTAGTTATCATCTACACTTTAGTTTTCTAATTAGTTGTAAATTTGTACTCGAATGTAGATGATGCAATCTCGATTCTTGACTAGTGCAAAGATAATTTTCAACAATAGTAATTGTGTTTTAAGAAAACTGTACAATTCGTTAATATATTTTCCTAAATATGAATATAACAGGCCAAACTTTGTTCTTTATGGCTTATATATATATATATATATATATATATATATATAGCCTGTTACTAGTTACTCGTTAAAATGTAATAGCAGCTAAAATCCTCCAATTTACCTTAGCATTTAAAACTAGCAGTTGATCTATAATTTTACTTTATAAAACCAAGTTACAATTTAAAAGGGACTAGTGTTGAGTTTTCCATATTTATTATTCGCAATAATCTTAATTTGCTTGTACTATCTATATACATTTTTATTAATGTATAGTTGATCCAAAAGAAGGTGATGCTTATCCAATTGGTGCATTACCGGTTGGTACAATTATTAGTCAATTTGAAATAAAACCTGGTCAAGGTGCTTTATTTTGTCGGACAGCAGGATCTAGTGCAACAATATTTCGACGTGGAAAATATGTTGGTTCAAAATTAAATGAAGAATTAAATTTCACATCTTTAACTGATGAACTAAGAGATGAATATGTTGTATTTGTTAGAACAAATGGAAAACGTAAAATTTATCGACTTTTACCAACATGTATGTGTGTAGTTGGACAAGTATCTAATGAAAATCATGATCAATTTAAGTAAGTTAATTACGAATAACTAGATTTCATATCGTTAATAATTATGTAGGATATTTCTGTTAAGTGTCGTTTTGATTTCTATAGTGTTATCAGTAACCACGCTGTCATTTTAAATTGGATTATGTCAAATAAGTTTTATTTTCAGTGAAGATTATTGTTCATTTACATAGGGAAATTTTTCATGTGTATTTAAAGATTTACACTACATGCTTAGTATTATTATTGATGTATAGAGGTAATTGATGACAAGTAACCTTATACATTGTTTGAGTTTTTTTTATTAAGGTTAATACTTTCTGTTACATGGACTCAATTTGTTTATTACTGTGAGAAGTGTACCATGTCATTGTTCACCAAATTACTTTCGATTAAAATGTTCGTATACCTGATCGATCAGAATACACCATGCGTAAGGAATAAGTTATGTATGAAGCTTTATATGCAATTCTCGGACAACGTGATATTTTGTTTATAATAACTAACTAAACAATTTTTAAGTAAATCATTAGATTTTAAGATATTGCATGTTTATCGCTAATATTATATTTATTTATCTCTTTTTCATTGTTTTATAAAAATACATATAGATTTCGTAAATTTGGTGAAAAGAAATGGAGAGGAATAAAACAACGCAGTGGATTATGGCAGCGTAAAACAGGAAGATTTGGTCGAAAAGTACGGCCGATCGGTCCACCTATCGACCTTGTACCATGTCAAAGTTCACAAGACTACTTTAGATTAAAATGTTCGTATCCTGGTCGATCAGAATATACAATGCGTAAGAAACAAGATATGTATGAAGCTTTACATGCAAAAAACAAACCAAGACCACAACCTATTCCTGGACGTCACAATGAATTACCTGACAAAATGCCACGATATCGTTGGTGTTCTTGGTCATCTGTACGATAAGAAGCACAAATGCTACAAATCTTATATATTTGAATGTGTAATATCTGATGGTTGTACTAAATGGTTATTAACGTGCTTTTTATCGGTAATCACCTACTTTAGCTGTTTTATAAAAAGAAATAATGTGGAATTGAATTTATTCAAATCTAAAACCACGAATGAACCAAGTCAACAGCTATATCTACTGTATTATAACGATGACGCTTGTATAAACGAGGCAGGTCATAGCGAAGTTCTGCAACCACTTTGCCCTGTGCACCAGTACTCTGTATTGTATGTAGAACATGCTATACAGTTATTTAAAAAAAAGTAGACATGAATGAACAAGTATTTTGACTTATAGTAATTATAAAACAGCATAGTAAACCGTTAATTGATGCACACTATAGTAAATAGCTCCTAAACAATATTTTTTATCAAGATTATATTTAGATTATTGTGTTTAGGTACACGAGTCAAATTTTTGCGGTCGTATTTTTGTTTGCTATTCGAGTTGTACCTACTACATCACTTAACACGTAGTAAAAATTAAATTACTAGTCTACGGACTTTGTTTTGAAGAGACCTTTTATAAAACATGTTGAGGTTTACAAAATGTGGTTAAAATGTTCCGAATGCTTGATTATGTAATGCAAGTATCGTATATATAATTGATACGCCATTAAATAGCTTGTGGCTTTAGTTTGTTCATTACATCACTTATAGGGTCATAAATTTTTATTTCTCGACAAACAATATAGCTGAGCCTCATATATTAATTGGCAAGTTTCCACCAGGCCAATTAACTTAACACTGAGTGTCAGTTTAGTCGTTAAGAGTTAATTCAAAAATAGTGTACTCGGTTAGTTAACTATGAAGTCTTCAAGACCGACAATATACATCTTTTGCTAGCAATCATGGAATAGTTAGCTCAGAAAATTAGCATCAGCTAGGTATTCGCGAAAACCTGTTTGCTCAAATTCGCACGCCACTAGCTTTTATTCATAGTCACTGATCTAGTAGAACCTTCGTTATAAATATTTTATAACTTAAAACTCATTATACTTACGTTTCGTGTGGTAGTTTTATGGAGCGAATATACATGTAAGTGGGCAATGGACAGCGCAGCACGTAGGAATGCCATGTCAATACCTGAAAAAATAAGATCTATGTGTCAGTAAGACGTTACCATTATTTTTCGGGTTAGTGCCAAAAGGAGGATTTAGAATAACTGTATCCACAAATTTCTTGTTGTTCCCATGAAAGAGCCGTGCTACATCACACAAAGTAACATCAATATTTTCATCTAGCATTTCACATGTTCCTAGGTTTGATTGAAACTCATTCACAGCATCCTCATCAATTTCGAATCCAAGTACACAACTGATATCTATCATTAATGTTGAAGGAGTGTCAGTTTCCTACCTAGCTCCAAGGAGTTTAGCACCGATAGACAACATTCCAGTACCACATCCAAGATCGGCTACAGACATCCCTTCCAATGCATTATCTGTCATTTGAATATTAAACAAGATGTCCGCTAAACAAATGGTAGATTACTTTTAGTATTTCATCAACTAACCTGCAACTTGTGCTGAGGTACAGTACTGTTCAAACTCAAGTTTTGGGTTTTGAAATGTCTTAACATTTTCCAGCTGGTGGTGTAGTTTTTTCCGACTTAATGTGGGCATACCACGATATGATAATTTCCCCAAAATTTTACCTATAAAAATAGTAGTGACTATACAGTACTAGATAAGACAAACAATCAGTGAAATGTAGAAAACAGGAAAAACCCAATGTCACGTTATTCATACCATGAGTAGGTTTGCGGAGATATGCTTAATGTCTAACCAAACGAATGAATAAGTTCTCAATGTACGAAGGGACTTCGGCCAGTTACACTGATTGCTGTCAATTCAAAACTATTTAACGAAACTAGGAATCCTGGTAGGACGTCGATATCAAATGAGAAGCAGTTGGTTCATGATTGCTAGGATTATCCTACTTTGGCAGAACTGGCAAGTGAAAGTGTTCCACTATTTAAGAAGAAGCGAGTGGAATAGTGTGTAAAGACACCGCCAATGCCAGAAACCTCGTCATCGTACTTAAGTTGTATTTTTTAGACAAATGACCGAGTAAGCTCGTCGTAATAGTTCCGTGCTTATTAAACGAATCGAGTGGTCAAGAGGACACTGGTTCTCCAATGGCTTCAATTACCAGGCATGGACGCTGCACCTAGTGACTTTATTTGGAATGCCATTTGGTCAGTTAGATGTCAAAATCTACTCGACCGTCAAAACCACAAATATGACGTAACGCACAAGCTGATTTCAATTAAACTATGGTTTTCCGAAGTTTACATTCGATTTCTATCATCTAAAAAATGACCACCAGAAGAAGCTCTCTATACAGAATAATGTCTTAGCATAATCATATTCGCTCCTAAAGCAGTAGTGAGCTCCATGATCATGGAGAACTCAAGGGTTTTCTGAGAAAAACCCGTGCAAGGAAGAGTTTGACTCCGGTCAGTGGATGTACGTTTTCAAGGTCAGTTTAACCTCGATCAATGGTCGTTCATTAAATATAGTCTTACTGAAAGCTTAAGTCGCGTTTCTCTTAAATCGACAAACCTTTCCTGAAGGAGACATTTATTAAGACTTGGTTAGGCCGTAGTCGGTCTAGCATTAAACAGAAGAGCTTTATACTTATATTTTATGCCCTGCCAAGAACGCTGGCGACCATTAATACAGTGAAATCCGTTCTTTTCCAACATACACCGTTAACAACAATGACACCGATGCCTCTTGTTTAGATATGTAGGCAAATCCATGTTTCTTCTATCCCAATGACCAAAAAAGGAGTTCGGCATTCGAAAGTACGTTCGTTCACGACAAAGAAAAGAAAAAAAATGGACCAGATATTAACAATTGTGTAAACGACAATTCCAATACATTTTCCAATAAATAACATTATTTTCACCACCACGCAAGTCAATAGTGCTGTGATTCTATAAATCGAAAGAGAGATTCATGATTATATCTAATTTGTTTACAGTTTCTCAGGACAGACTACCTTCAAAGTAACGCTGCTTTTGTATTCACGCGGTCCGACAGAATAGTGTTTCGTGAAACAATGAAAACTTGCTTATTTTTCTTAAACGTTTTGTTGCTAACGTTTGTATTTGAGCTTCTTTTAAAGCTATAATAACTAAATTTGACAGTTAATTAGAGGTTGGTAAGTCTTTTGTATTAGTGAATGTGTTTTGATGATTTGGCTATTGGTCAATGTCGTCTCACGGATCCTGAAAAATTGATCTGATTAGTTCTTCAAGAGGTGATATTCTCTTAGTTCTTCTGTACTCGAACACTTAATATCATTTTTCAGGCTGCAAACAACGTATTTTTTGCCTAATAATGTGATAGCTACTGCCTCGATAAACCTTTGTAGCGGTAAATAAATCCCCAAAATAAATAGCTCTAAGTTTTCGACATTGGATGCTGACCATATGTTTTAGTGGACTCATCTAGCTGAAGGCGCTCGGTCATGCATCCGCACCAGATCACGTGTGGTAACGCTGCGCTCAACATCCACCGCAATCGCTAGCCAGATTAATAATAATAATAATAATAGTAATAATAATAATAATAATAATTTATTCTCAAATAACAGTTTGTTACATGAGGCATGCCAGTTTACAGGCAAGATCAAATTGATACAAATGATACAATATCCACTGTAGTAAATTACATAACTGGGTTGATAATTTATAAAATATGAATGTAAATGGTTTTAATCACAGTTGGAGCGCTTCACGAAAGTTGCGTTGCGAATGTGCAACTGGTGGTCAAGGATAGGTCTATTGAAGGTGGGAGCTTCTAAATGTCGCAACCTTATGTCCCTTTGGAATGTCTAAGGCTTTGAGGATGGTGCAGGATAAAATTTTTCGTTCCATATCACAAGGGGGCTGAAAGAGGGAGCAAGTAAAAGAAAACACAAGGGGCAGAGTAGCCAATATTCATGAAGGAGTGTTTAAGGTATGATTACTCAGTCTAATTTTCTTTTATTAAGGTATTTGTTAAGAAAGAGCATTTATTAGGTTAAAGAAAATATGTGTTAACAAGGTGTAAGTGGACATACAACTGACAAATGGAGCCGATTCGGAAAGGAGCTGAGAGTATGTGATTATGTGTGATTATAAAATAAAATATAGTGCTAGAAACAGTTTTGTGATATACAATTGGCTATCTTTTTTATCGAAGCAATTGGAGCCCTTTTCATTTTTTTTGTATTATTTTTTTTCAGGTATCATAGGGTCTTGAGTAGGCTTTGTATATTAGCGAATTGTCTAGTTTGCTTGTAATAGGATTACTGGGTAGGAAGTGAAACCAATTCAACGTTCGTAACACGATTTAAAGGGGTATTTTGCGTGATAAATCAGCTTCAATACCATAAGTTCGTGACATACCACTAAACCATAAGGAGCCGTAATTAAACAAAATGTTCTGCCCTACAGACATGGGTGGATTGAATTTATCTCCCCGCCTTCATTTTCGCTGGTCAGTAACGCCACCCTCCCTCCTTTTGTGATGTTAGGCTCTCTTACGTTTATGGTAAGTATGAATACTGCTTTAATCAAAGCCCATAGTTGGAATACACTGTCTCTACTAGGTCCATGTTACAAGCAAATCAGATAGTTGAAAAGTCTTTTTTTGGGTTAGATGTCCATATAGTATATCACACTGCTATGAAAATAACTAATGTTTTAAAGAAGTAAGGACTAATAGCAAATCAAAGGATATGAAGAAGTATATAATTGTAAAAAAAAATTTTTAAGGATAAGAAAAATAAAACTGAGCAATCCACAAGACTATATGACCAATTTTTTTAGCTTTGTATGATTGACCTTAGTAGATCAGCATCCATAAGATTGAGCTATCTGTCTACTTGCAGTAGAAAAAAAAGCATGACTTTTAGGAAGAATAATGTACATTTAACCTGTAGAGATTTGGGAACTGAAAGCTAGGGTTAGGAGCATAAGGCCATGATTAATAAATAATGAATATTAGGAAAGGATAAGCTATATATTCTGTGATTTGGTTATATTCGTATTAGTAACAGTCGAACTTGTTATAATCTTGTTCTTTCTAGATACTAGGCGGTCCGTAATAAAGTGCCTCATTGGTGGGCGGGAGTTCAAGGAAATGTTGAAGCTCTTTGGAGTCTAGAAATAGGGTTATTAGCTTTTTGAATCTGGTAAACGTATCACAGTTGCGGATAGGCATTGGCAGCCTGTTCCACAATAAACTATACCGTACTGTAAAAAACTTACAACGCATTTGTTTTTGGTGTTTTACGGTAAGTAGTGTATATGCGTTGTTTCTAAGTCTATAGGCTGGGTTGTGGGTGATAGTCGGGCAGGAGGTTAGAAAGGAGAGCCCATATATCGCTTTGTAGAGAAATATTAAATTGTTTTTTAGCCTACGGTGACAGGTTCTAAAGATAGATGCTTACATCTGTCTGTGTAACCGAGATTCGAGTTACATCCTAGTAGTTGACGTGTGAAACGTCTTTGAACATCTTCTACTCTTATCTTGTCTGCGATATTCATATTAGAGAAGACAAAAGAGCAGTATTCAAGGGAGGGTCGTACACATATTTTGTAGAGAGTAAGTTTACCCTCTGTTGTGAAAAAGTTTTTCATTATAAAACCAATTAGCCGTCTAGATTTAGAAATAATAGAGGAGGCATGTTCTTCAAAGTTCAGCCTTCCTGTGTAATTAATTCCTAAATCGTGTACTGATTCGAGTGTTTGGACTCTACTTTCATTTAAGTGAAGTCGCGGTTTATAGGGATGCTTTCCGATATATTGGTTATCGCCAAATACACTCTTCCGATCTCCTCGACTCTGTCTTTTGATTTCTCTCAGTGGGTACAAATTATATTAGAAGGTGTTGCTGGTAAAAGCGTTGTCAAACACTGAATAACTATGCCATCTTCATTGGTGAGTCCGACGTGATCTGGTACACCCAATTGAAACTGTGAGTCTGTTCCTTTTTGGGATTTTTGTATATTATTGCCTTATTTTTTAATTTTTATACGTTGTGATATTTTTTCCCCGTGTCTCAGGATATCTATATATTCGTATTCTCGTATTTAATATTCCCCTATGACCGAACAGACTCCTAAGGTATTTAAGCTTAAGACCATGTCCACACCCTAGCTCCAACTCATGCCCTTCTGGCCCGACAATATCAAAGCGTGGTTCTGCTACGCAAAAGCCGACTTCCACGAGCGCAGCGTGAACGACACACGTGCACAATTCCTCGCAGTAGTCAAGGCACTACCACGCGAATTCAACAGGTACGTAACACCTAGTATGTTTACTAATGATGTTTCGGAACCTTACGAAACCTTAAAACGTTCGATTCTTAAACGAGGAGACCTAACCGATCGACAAAGGTTAGATCAACTGTTTAATAACATAGACCTTCAGCACGGTTCTGCGACGGACATGTTACAGAGGGTGAGAGAGGTTATAGGCCTAAGAACTTTCGACGAAGGCCTATTCAAACAACTTTTCTTGTCTAAACTTCCCCAACAGGTGCAAGCGGTTCTGGTCTCGTTTCAGAACAACGCCTTAGACGAGCTGGTTGCATCTGCCGATCGTATCTTAGAAATAACGAAATCTTCTACTACCGAGGTATTTTCACTCAACGAAAAGCCTCACACGACTCAGAATGACATAACCGAGTTATGTCATACACTTACACGTTATCTTAATTTTCGTAACGACCGTAAGCGACCCCTCACCCCACTTAGAAGCATTTCACGTAAATGATCTGTCTGTAGACCACGAGAGACGGATAATACCGACTAGTGCTGGTATCATAACCAGTATGGAAAGTCTTCCAGAAATTGCAGAAAACCCTGCAATTTCCCCAACACGAAACCGAGTGACTCGAAAAACGACTCGGGAAACTTCCAAGCCGGCACACGTTAACGGCAACCGTAGCCGGCGAACATAGCCGTCTGTTATACGTCACAGATGTGACAACGAGAGTTCGCTACCTCGTCGATACTGGCGCAGAAATTAGCGTTCTCCCAGGAAATTCTAACGACCAACTTCACGAATCGACTCTAAACTTACAGGTGGCAAACGGAAAACCTATCACTACGTATGGCAAGAAATACGTTTGCCTGAACGTGGGTTTACGCAAACCCATCCACTGGATTTTCGTTGTTGCAGAGGTTTCTATGCCAATCATTGGTATGGATCTTCTACAACACCATAATCTGATCATCGATACGCGCAAACGGAGGCCAGTAGACGGAAACACTAATTTATCCGTTTGCGTAACTTATTTTTCTGGTTGCAGATTATCCCCACTCACAATTAAGCACACGATAGACCCACTTTATCAACCACTACATGATAAGTATCCTGGCATTCATCAGACGCAACCGACATTACCGTGTGTAGCCAGCAACGTTACACATCACATCACGACTACAGGACCAACTGTATCCTCTAAAGCACGACGACTAGCCCCTGAAATGTTAAGGTTAGCGAAAAACGAGTTCGATCACATGATAGAGTTAGGAATCCCACAGCCGTCAAATAGCCCATATGCATCTCCGTTGCACATGGTCCCTAAAAAGGACACCAACGATTGGCGTTCAACCGGTAACTATCGGCGATTGAATGCGATAACCATTCCCGATCGTTACCCGTTGCCTCACATTCACGATTTGACAGCTACCTTGAAAGGTACAACTGTCTTTTCGAAAATCGACTTGGTTAAAGCGTATAACCAAATTCCCATGGCCACTGACGACATACCGAAAACAGCTCTCATTACTCTCTTCGGACTCTATGAATTTTCGTGAATGCCTTTCGGTCTAAGAAACGCTGCCCAAACATTCCAAAGATTCATAGACGACGTTTTTCGAGGTCTCAACTTCGGACATGCGTATGTTGACGACTGCTTAATCGCAAATCCGGACAGAGAAACACATCTCAAGCATCTGTATCTTGTTTTCGAACGACTACAAAAACATGGCATTACTGTAAACGTTCAGAAATGCCAATTCGGAACCAACTCAT